TGTCTAATGACTCTAATCAAATGCATAGAATAGAGAAAGGATATGGAGCAATGCATACAGATTCTGGCATATTTATTGACACCACCACCCACAAACAATAAGTGCTCCTGATTGCTAAAGACAAGAAATAATTACTGAATTACAGATCTGCAGAACTTACCTAGAATTTAGAGGTTCCTTATCACACTTCAATTTGTATGACGTTAGTTGCAATGATCTTCTGCAGTAAGAAATAAGCTCATCCTTCAGTAAAGGGAAATTTATTGGGGGAAAGAGGTGAAACAGTTCTGCACAGCAAGCCATTCTAAAAGCCAAAGTAAAATTATTTTACTTTTATACAAGAAATTGAAGAATGCCAAATTAAATTGCATAAAGAATCAAGTTTTGTATACAAAGCTAAAGAGATAGCAGAAATGTTAGGCAATCAAATTAATAATCACATCAAAGAATAAAGGAAGGATTGTTCTTATATGGAAAAAGCTTATTCCTTAATTAGACAGATGCATGCGAAAAATATGGAAAATGGGAAAAGGAGAGCAATAATCGCTTCTGATCAGTGAAAGTAAAATGTAGATGAATCAACATTTTAATCAATAGACAATACCACATAGGTTTTGTAAATATGATGAATCTTTTATATTTTTATCTGATTATCCCACTAGATAAGACTAGCAAATATCCCCATAGCAAGGATGTGGTGTCAAATGCCTTCAGAACTCTGAAGCCTAGTTGCACCACTCCAAGCACATCAAATCAATATGCATGATAAACAACACCAAACCTGGAGAAGTTTGTTGGTATTGTGGCGGCGTCAGCTCTAGATGTATCCCTACCTGATGCCCCACCAAATGTGCTATTACTTACTGCACTAGTGCAGCTGCCAGCATGATACCTTTGCATCTCTCCAAACTATTATCTGCATACTGCCACCAACATTGGAACACACGAGGAAGTGTGCAGTCAAGCTGCAAACAATCACAAAAAATAACAAGTTTCAACCAAAAGAAGCACACTAATGATAACTTCAAGTATAATTAATCAGAAGACAAATATGTGAGATTTATCTTGTTGAGAAAGAAAGACATATAGTAGAGCCAAAATAAAGGTAGCAACTCTTGGCTTAAGTAGTTCATAGTACATAGCACAAGTGAGGCACTTGAATTTCCAAAAAGATCACGATATTAGAACACAAAAAGACTATGAAAACAGAGCTGAAATTAAAATTGCACACAACATGCAGGTAACATGAACACCAGCACAGAAACAAAACACCCTAACAAAGAATTTGAGCAAAGTTGCTAACTAGTAAGTGAACAGAATAATGAGGGCGTGCAATTAGGAATAAACTAAAATGATGACAACTGAAACCCGCACCATGATTTATGCAGTAACCCAATTAAGTTTTAACAACTAACATGAAATTAAATGAAACCAGATGTTTGAAAACCTAAAGATACAGAGCAATCTAGTGCAACATATAAAGAAACCAGGAAAAAAAAGCCTCAAAACACATGCAAACACTGACACCTACAAACAAAGTTAAAAAGTACATGTCCCAGGTTAGCATAAAGATCCAGATGAAAGGTAATGCTAGTAAATCATTGGTCATGTCATCTACTTCTATATGTTTCTGAAGTTTGATTGCAATGTTTAAGCAGCTTAACTGGAACAACAAAAATAGCAGTGCATCATAAATTCCTAAAGGCATTTAGAGAACTTTTTTCTTCAAAGTAAACTTGACAAATCAACTGCTTTAGCTAGCAGATTTCCCTTGATATGCACTATTGAGCTTTTGAAACTTGTGCTGACTAAACCTACATCACTCACCAAAACATGTAAACCTTTTTCTAGTTTCTATCAATAAGTACAGTTTACTACTGCTTTAGTTACAGATTCCCCTTGAACTAACTTATTTAACATTTGAATTTTGAGCCAACTAAAACTACATCATCTAATGTTCCAACCAAACAAGTAAAAGCAGACATCAATCTAGCAGAAATTCATCTCTTAGTCTTTCTATTTAATCTATCTAAAATCTAAGATTCTATGTTATAGAATCCCTCTAATAAATCCCCACTAGAGTTCTGTAAATAAAGTAACATCACACCCTTTGACCAGTAAAACAATTACAAAAAGCTCTATCTCCAATATGACTGAACCAAATAATCCAAAAAGGAATTTAAAAACAGTGATCTACAACAGCTGCAATCAGAAACCCGAACCAAACACTAAAATTTTTTCCTAGCAAACTATACCAAGTAACACAAATGCAGACAGTGGCAGCTAAGCAACAAAAAAAAAAGATTGATAAAATAAAAAAGATCAAGCCTTTGCTGAATGTGAACTAAATTGAACGACACAGATTAAAAACCAAAACCTCAAGAATAACAATCTGATTAACAGCATCCAATCTAATAACTTTGAATTTAGCATACCTGGAAAAAAAAATTACAACCTAAATTTTACAGAATCAGCAAGTCAATGACTTGGGATTCATCTAATAAAGATTTAAACAGGGCCCCTAATCCCCGTAGGGTGCATAATGAGGGTTTGAAGCAGAGAGTAAAAACTAGGGTTTTTCCGAGCGGAAAGAGGAAAAAGATTGAAACTTTGGAGAGAAAGAGAAAGATGGGAAGATTGGAAGATTTGAATACAAGGCCAAGTGTTGGAGAGATTTAGGGATTGAATTAGGAATGTAGATGGCGAAATCGTAGGCGGGGAAGAAAGAGGAGACGAGAGCGTGGAGGTTCGATGTATAGATACAGGTAATAGATATAGAGAGAGAAAGTAAAGTCTAGAGAGAGAGAAAATCCAAATTTTCCCCTTAGTAAAAGAGTTGATTTTTAGGAAGTGCGATGAAAGGCTTCTTCTCTCCGGGTCGAGAGGGGGCTTTTGACTCTTTAGGCTTTAGCTTTAGCTGATGATGATGACGACGACGCAATATTGTGTCATTGTGTGCACCTGTTTTCTGCTTTCCTTTTTTTTTTTTTTTTTTTTTTCAGGTAACCAATTTTAAATTTTTACTACCATTTTTTTATGGTAATTTCTGGTAATCGATTAATTTAAAAAAAAAAAATTCCAAATAATTTTGTATACTTTTTTTTTACAATATGTTATTTGTCCTTTCGATTTAAATATGTCATTTATAAGCAACTTAGATTGTTTTAATTCCGTTTAGTCATTTATTGGTTAGGTCATAAAATAGATTTTTTTTAATACTACGGACTCTATTACATTATAGTATCGGTTCAAACATACTTTCTTAACTTAATGAAGTATAAAGAGTCAACCATACCTCCACTGAGGTTCGATCTCATGACGTCCCAAACGTAATAAATTCAACTTTTTGCATAAATTAATATATCTTTTTTTTTTTTAAATGTACATCATAAATAATTTGTATATTTAACTTAATTTACTCTTTTTCTCATATTTTGTCAAAGGTCTTGTGGTCGAATAACATAACTGTAACTTCTCAAATGAAAGGTCTTTATGAACATATACTACATTGTAATAGAGTCAGTAGTATTCCAAACAAATTTTAAATAAATAAAATACTCAAAAAATTTCACCAAATTTTATTATTGATGTGTACGGAATACGATGTCCTTTCTAAGTGGATGTTTTATATTATTTAGAACATTTTTCATAACCACTACTATTCATTGATAAGTTTTCCATAATAATTGGATAATAAGATTTACCAACCCTTTCTTCCCCTCCCCTCTCATCAGAGGTGGATATATTTAATTATCTACATTTACAACATCACGTGTATATATATAAATTGTAAGTATTTACGCCATGCGCTCGTTGACGTGATTATGGTGGTCGCCAACTAACAACCATCCTAATTAAAAAAAAAAAATTGCTTAAAAATCTGAATTTGATTTCCTTGTACGCACATAAAAATTATAATTTGATCGGTGGACTAATTATCTTACTCCCGAAGTTCATAATTAGTTCAACAAAGTTGGGATCACTTTTTTTTTTTTTTTAAAGTTTTTTCTCACTTTTCTCATTCTTTCAAATAAATTGACAAAAACTTAAGAAAATTTGTTGCATTTAATGTTGTTATAGACACACAAGAACATGTCCACAAAAATCAATAAGCAGTGTGAAAAACATTTGAGGATGTTTGAAATTACTATATTTGGTTGTCACCACTTGAACACAAATTTGATTTATGAAGTGCCATGACAAAAACAGACTTAGATAAAAAAAAAAAAAACGTTCAAAATAAAGCATGTTTCCTATGAGATAATTAAGCCCTCGTAAATAATTAATGATTCAGTTATTAAAGTTGTACATAGTTGCATCATGTGATATTTGTGAAAAAATTATATCACTGTATATTATAGCATGATGTGTTAAAAAAAAAAAATTATTATCCGAGGGTGTGTATTGTATAAATCTCGCATTGTAATCTTTGTCAATAAAAGATCACATGGAGATAAATCAATTTAAGTTGTCCAAGTTACTCTCTTTGCTAAGAGTTTACCCGTACAAAACCTACCATACCATCGAGTAATGACTACAAATGTCCACACAAGCTTAGTTCAATAGTTCAGTAGGTAGTATTGGGAGAAGAAATTTGTGCGCACTTACATTTGACCCTGTCTGCTGAGCTATTAAGTCACCGTAATTTACATCCTCCCGAACGCTCAATGGAGCTGGGGTGTAGGCGCCTTTAGAGTTGAGGATTCAACCTTTTGAGAAAAAAATAATAACTACATATTTTCCTCCACTATCAAAATTATTAATTAATATTTACTTTTGATATGAGATAATTAAACCATCGTAAACAATTAATGATTCAGTTATTAAAGTCGTACAAAGTTGAAATGACTAAAAATATGCTTCACTCTGCTTTATGCTTGTTTGAGCTGTCAAATCATAAAAAGGAAAAACACATTTCCACAAACTATAAGTTATAGCAAAAGCAATATGGATACCAAATACAATTGCTTCAGAGTTATACACTGCACAAAAATCTCAACTGGATCAGACAATATAAGCTCAAGATTATTGTCATTTCGGCTCTCTTCAATTCTTTCAGTTACAACCACTATGTAATCACACAAGTCAAGTAGAAAATCACACACTGTAATGAAACCCAAAAAGCCTAACTAGAAGCACTCTTCGGCCAAAAAAAAAAGGGAAAAGAAAAGAACCGTTATAAGGTGGAGAGAAGATTTCACACCTTGCAGCATGACATCAAGCAATCCAGAATTTACAGAAGTCTACATTGATGAGAAACCCCTTTACCAGGTTGATAAAACCAAAAAGGGCCTCACTGCTTCTTCCTTTGTCTACTCACTTTTTTGGGGTTTTTTTTTTTTTTGGGTAATCTTCAGTGGTCAAGCAATACCTTTTGCTCTGTGTAAACCACACAGGAGCCACATCCCTCAGTGGGAGCACAAGTGTTTTATTCATCAGCTTTTGCCTTGGGAATTTCTCGCGAAAGAGTTACATTAGATATCAACCATGGTATTACGAGAAAGGATGCACCGGATCATCTCCCAAAGATCCAAGCTATGGCTTACTGAGGCCTAAACTAATCAGAAGGTCACTAAACTTCAACTAGTCACAGCTAATCACCACTTCTTTATCAGCCGAAGAGAGGATATCGTTTTCTGTAGTGTCATCTGCAAGGATGAATATGGTTTCCTCCAACAAATCTTCAAGAATAGTTGCTTCAATCCCAATACCAATATTTCCAATATCATATTGGAGATCCATCCATTCCCCAGACCTTGCTAAGTGTATTCTGACTAACTGTTCCAAAGAATGAGGTGGAGGATTCTTCAGAAGATACCATTCAACTCCGTTCCATACCTCATGGATTAGGTCCATGCCCTTTGGGACTGGCCGGATGTTCTGTTTAAGAATTGGTGTGCATGAGAAGCAGCCAAAATAGCGGTCAATTACCTCCTTAAGAACTTCATTGGTACAATCAAAAAGGAGTTTTTGATCGTGACAAGATCGACTAGAAAATAGCTCAACTTCATCAAACAATGATGGGTCAAGAATCTGGTCTGAAGAAAGCCACCTTAAGAGGAAATCATCCCAATTCAGGTCTGAACCTAGCAGCACTGCCTCTACGTATTCAAATGCAGTTTCCTCACTTTCCAAACACGTCCTTATACACAGTGGTTGGTTAATAGTTGAATATGCAGGTTCCTCAAAATGGATTTTCCGTGGTTGAATCTCAAGTTCAACTGTAGATGCATGAATGACCCATTTCAGGCATGAGCAAAATATAAGACTACTTTGTACTGAATAGCAGATATGAGATTCAGCAAATTAAAAATCTGGCTAACCTGATCGACATACAGTGCTTGCTGGACTGATATCATCCTCCACAAATAAAGGCTCGAGAACAGATATAGGACTTGGCCGCTCTGTTCTATCCATTACACAATCTGGATCAGCTCTCCTAGTGTCTAATGACTGTGCCAAGGAAGCTGGAGGAGAAGATAAAATTTGATCTGCTCCTTGTGATTCCTGAAAGTTATAATAAAATTTGGAGGTCCTTAAGTACAGAATAGAAGCCACAGCAATAGCAACAGAGACACAGTTACGACAATATTGAAATACACTCACAGATGCAGCAATATAGAAGGGAGCTAAGATTCCCAGATACAATAGTGTAAACGAAAAATACCAACAAAAGTGAAAGAAACGCAACAACACTCACTGTTTTTAAGTATTCAGGTGCCAATTCCAAGCTCTGAGAAGAGCTCTCTTCAATGCAAGCTTCAGTAACATGAGCACTGTCCATGTTTATGGTAATTGAAGAGCTACTTATTTCAAGGGGAGCATTTGAGGCTCTCTCATCCTCCTGGCATCTAGTTTGAGATGATTCTTCAGTATCTATAGTCCCTTGAACAGTTTAGGGATAGATATAATTAATTAAAACTATCAACATTGTCAAAAAGAAGGCAAAAGAGAGGCTCATAACCAAAAGGATAGAAATACCTTCAAGAGCCACACCTCCATGTGAAGGCACATTTGCTTCCAATAAAATGTCATGATAATGTTCACATGGAACATTGAGATTTGCTTTATCAGATTCTATGTCCTGGTTAGAGGGGTTTTCTGCAACACAAGATTGGGTTTCCAAGTTAGATTGACAAATGTCCCGGTCTTCATGAACGGTTTGATGGATGCTTTGATTAGCAGTCGTTAAAGAGTCAGGAGGTGCTACTCTCATCTGGGAAGAAAGAATTTGCTCATCACTGCTATCACTGTTGCTAGAACTGGAGCTAGGAGAAGTATAGTAATCAGGAAGAGAAAGGATCCTCCCAAGAGATCTAGGCAAATGCATCCTCATTGGCTCTTCCTTCTCCTCACCATTATCCAGCATCTCAAAAATATGCTTCTTGGCCTCAAGATAGATGTTAGGTACCCCTTGCTTGGGATAATCAGATGTTTCATTTCTGATAGCTTCTTCAGCATCTTTTGGCTTTCCTCTCTTGTCTCCTCTCTTTAAGATAGCAGATGGCTTGGCAAATCTCTCAGTGTAAAAATGGTTTCTGTTTGGAGAACTCCATCCAGCTCCAGCATTTTCTCCAGTAATCCCTTTCTCACTCTCACTGCGCTTTTTATACTCAGGAGGAACCCTACGTACAATTCCTCCAGGAGAGATTCCTTGTCGGTCCTTTCCCATAGCATGCCTCAGCTTTCTTTTAATTTCAGTGAATGAGAAGTAGGATGAGTTTCTCTCATTCTGCACCTTATTCTTCATAGTATCGGCAGAGTGTGATGATGGGTCAACATTGAGTTGAGTACCTGGGAAGTGCAATGGTCCAGGCTTGAGAATTACAATTTTGCTTGGAGGCTGGGATCTCACATCTTCCATCAATGGGTAGCTTCCTTGAGATCTGCTTCTCCTCCGGAAAAAGTGGGGTTGTTTATGTTCAATGATTTCATCTGTTTTTGCACAGACTGGCTTGTTCTCTGAAAAATTAGATTTCAGCATAGAGTTTGACCTCAGCCCTTTCTCTAATCCATCCTCCAGACTTTCAATATGCTTTACCAGCCTGGAATTTGGGTCTTGTAGGAGCCTACGGAATAATTCCTTGTTAGACCGTAATGTCTGCAGTGCATCAGTCAACTCTTTGGTGTTATCAGTTATCTCATCTTCCATTAAGGGCTTACTATTCTTTAGTTTATGATTTATAAACACCTCAATTGCAGCACTTAACTTTTCTTCGAGAACAGGGTAAGACTGATCTGTATCAGTATGCAAATTGCCTTCCCTACTTACTAGACAATTCCGGCCATGTTCTTCCATTGCAACTTGCAAGTCATCAGAGTTATGACGGGACATTCCAGATCCTGTACTTCTGATATCATCCAAATCAGAGAGAGACAAGTTTCTAGATCTCTTGCAAGTTTTATATGTCTTTTTAAGGGTCTTTGTTGTATGACTGGCCTGATGTGAGCAATGTAGTTCAGGTTCAATTTCAGTATCATTTCTTGGATTCTTATGACTTGGTTTGCTGGACATATCTTCTTCCATAAGTTCCTTGACCCTTGTTTTAACATCAAGGATTACTACCTCTCTTTCTTCATCATCCTGAAATTTGTTACAAAATTTATGGCATTTTAAATTGTGAATTCCAGTATAAGAACATAGAGGACTAACAAAACAATATACTAATAACTAACTAGTCTAAAACTCAATACACTTGCACTTGCTTCAAAATAATGGTTTCTTATCAATATTAATAAAGAATGTCAAGAGATGCTGAGACTACCTCAACTATCGGACTCTCCTCATTGGAATCTGGTATAATGAGCTTTGGACTTGAAGCAGTACCTAATGAATAAGAAAAAAAGGAAGTTGAGAGAAAGTGGGGAGGGGCACCAGGATCAGCTCAAATCTCAAGAGTGAAAAAATGATTTTCTTCAAATATTTCTTACCAACTTGTCTGCTAGCTCGCCTTCTATCTGAAAGCAGCTTTCTGGTAGCTAGACCACGGCGGAAGTCAAATATGCTAATGAAACCCCACATACAACCTGCCTGATCCTTCTCATAACGCAAAGAACGCCTTTGTGATCTCTTGGCCATTGTTGGAGATTGTTTTGATCGTGATGTGTTGTGTTTGTTTAGATTTTGTTTCTACTACAAGCGATCATATGAAAAAGAAGAATGGAATACAGAAGAAATTTTCAGAATTTGGTTAAATCCTATAAATAGTAATCAAGAATTTAAATACAACTAAACATGGCACAAACATTTAGACAATAGTAATACATGGAGGGAAGCAGATCAGCTATGAATCATCTCTCAGTTCAGATCAGGTAGGTGATAGTAAAACCACAAAGGAATCCACACAATAAAAACACACGAGTGAGCTTAGGTGGAGATCATGAAAATATAAATGTGAAATGGAAAGCCTCTCAGACAGTTAATTGAACATGGATTTTGAGTGAAATAAAAAATAATTAAACAATAAAAACCCTGAAAACAGAAAACTCAAAGTATAGGAAAAATTAAGAAAGACAAGTACTAGTATCCAGAAAATTAAATTAGCTTAGGGTAATCCAACTGACTATATTGTCCATTCTAAACAGGATCATTCAGCATTTGCCACACAAGAAGAATTAAAGTTCAAACTTCAATCAATACCCTAAGATTCAAAATTTACTTTCTTATATGTGAGAAGTAAGAAAATTCAACTTCCAAAGAGAGAGAACAAAGAAAACAATAATAACAAAGATACTAGAAATCTAGAAGACCAGGACTGCAAAACCAGACTTCAAATAGTTAAAAAAGATTTTCAGGGAAAACTAATTGGATAATTTGACAAAAATTTGAGCTCTTATAAGCAGCAAGTGCTATATGCATATATAGCAGTAATTTACAACTTGAATAAAACCAACAAAAATCCCATTTGAAATTCATAAGTTCACCGACAGAGTGAAGCTCAATGAACTTAGCCTTACCTGGCAAACAAGGAATCAAAAAATTGCTTTTCTCTTTCCAGCAACAAGGACCACAGTCCTTACAACATCGATGTGATTTTCCCTTCAATGAAAATACTAAAACATCCAACTCGTGAAAGATTTAGTCCTCCTGACGATGTTCCAATTGATTCCCTTTCTTACAATTAAAGATGCCATCAATCTGATCTTCACGAATGACACTTCACTTTGAAACCTCAATCTATCAAGGCCAAAAAGATCTCTACTTGATAAATGCTGAAGCCTTGTAAGATCACTTCACAGATGTTTTTTCACTTTTACCTATCCAAAAACTGAAATACCCAATGCAACTGTTCTTCCTATTCACACAAACCCACCAGAAAACTGAAGCGTCGACCTCAAAGACTCCACAAAGCAAATACTCGGCATATGCGCAATCCCAATTCCCAGTTGAAATAAAATATACAATTTGCGGATCAGAGAAGCACAAATTGTACAACTATAACATCATCATAAAAACAAAAACCAATCTATATACAAAGAACTAATTTTTTTTTGTTGCGTTTGCTTTTTTCATTGGGGTTGAGGGTATCTATTCCACCTCCACCGACCAAAAAGTCGAAAAGAGGGAAACCCAGATGGGAGAAACACCGACCCACCTCTTTATACAAAGAAAATTAGGTGTGGGTCTGGCTTTGGCGCTGGGTGCAGCCATTAAAGACTTATGGAAGGTGGAACCAACAACTAGGGAGAGAGAGAAAGCAAAGGAAAGAGAAACTGTAAATGTCTATATAGAGAGAGAAAAACAGGGATGATGCATTGCAGGCTAGCTGCTGCGAGAGAAGTTCAAAAGGGGAAAAGTTTGATGACACCAGAGAGGGCTGGAAATGGTGGGACCATAAACAGAAATTCAGCTCTTTTTCTTTTATCCCACAGAAAAATAAAGCAAAATTTCTGCTTTTTTTCCCTCGACGGTGTACAATGTTTTGCAGCAGTTGTTGATGTTGTTCCACATCCAAGAATCACAAGGGTCGCCGCCCCACACCTTTGTCTTCTGTCTCCAATTCTGAACTGCCACTACCCCCCTTCCACTCAGAGGATAGCCTTTTCTTAGGTTGATTTTTAGATATGATTTGAGAGTTGGGTTATGGTCCGAGGAAACGTAACCGCCTAGGATGTTTATACGTTGAAAGTGAGATGCGAAAGATAAATTTGGTGCCCGTTAAAGAAAATTGACTTGCATTGGGTGTATATAGACTGAATTTTGTGACCATTTTAGGGGCAAAAGTGCGAAAGTAACAAAAGCGTTTGAAATAAACAAGTTTTGGTGAATTGGTGTACCAAATGAACTTTTCTTCTTGATATTTTTAGCTCCTTGTTTATTAAAATAATTTACAAAATAAATAAAATCAAATACTCAATTGAAGTCAAAGACTTACTGATTAAGCGACATCACTGTGACTCTCCTAAATGCGAGGTCACAAGTTCAAATTATGAACATATATATTATAACAAAGTCAGTAGTATTCAATTGAAAACAATAAATTTTTCTTTTAAGTTAATTAATGACCGCCGCTCCTGTTAGGCTGTTCCTTTTATGTTACTTGTGTTACAATAGAAATTAAACAACAAAGGGATGCGGTTGAGTGTTGGGAACTCTGACATGAATCCCTTTTGAAACTAAGTTAATGCAACAGGTTGATAAAACATCATTTTCCCAGAATTCATAATGCTATTTATGGCAAGAATTTAATATTGGCAAGTCCACCCAATGATCAACAAATAAATTTGAATTTTTTTAATGATTTTATTGATAAATATACTATAACCAAAATAATAATAATAATAATAATAATAATAATAATAATAATAACAACAACAACAACTAGTGTTGTATATCTACTTGCTTAAATTTTCTTTTGTTTTGCTTTTGTGATAATTCCTTTTGTTTCCGAGTTTACTAACTAGTAACTACAACTTTATATCACCACTGTCACCCATGCAACCAAAAAAAAAAAGTTGTTTACTAGCTATTGAAGTATACAAGTAGAACGGGACCAGACATTGTATTCTACGAATCCATCACCATTTATTTACGAATAAAATAAGGGAGAAAGTTAACAAATCATCAATGAACGGCTGAACGCATAACGATTATTCTTTCTGTTGTCTGTGTTTTAAAGATCTTTAAAAGTGTTATTCCAAAATAAGTAAGAAATCTAAATTTATCTTTTTTGTTAAAAAAAAAAAAAAAAAAAAAAAAAAAAAAAAAAAAAAAAAAAAAAAAAACAAGAGAATATTATTATGCCGGAGTTTTTCACGGTGGTTGTTAAACATTATGCTCTTGTTGTATCAAAATTTTAAAAATATGTAATATGCAATACACAAAAAAAAAAAAAAAAAAAAAAAAAAAACACACACACACACATAAGTTATCACAAATTTGAACACAATGATGACATGAAACTATTTTATTTTAAGAAAAGTGGTTTTGCCTTTAATATATAGATTTTAGCATAATTAATAAGACTGCGAATTTGATTTAAAGTCTAAATGGCTGTAATTATGATCTTCAAACGCAACTTTGAATTCAAATATTGGAGCTTAAAAGAGAGGGAGGCGACTCACGGCATTTGAAAGTTTAATGTCATATAAAACTTTGTCAACGTTTAATATGGAACACTTTAAGGACAAAAAATCTCATTTATCCTATAACATGCATCAATTTCCTACGTACAACTGTACAAGAGACAAACAAATGAACCCCCACATCACTTTGTCTATTCTTGAAATATCAATTATAATGATGACAACCATAATAATATTTTCCCAACAGAAAATAAGCTAATGTACAATTTGTTTTTATGCCAATATCTTTTTATAAATTAGTTTTATAATTTATTTATTTAAAAAAAAAAAAAAAAAAAAAAAAACAGAAGCCAGAGAATTAGGTCATGTTTTATAAAAACAAAAAAAAATGTAATAATTATATTTTAAATTTTAAATTTTGGTAATTTTATATCAAATATTTGCATCTTGTCAAAATTATATCTATTGGTTCTATTGGATCCAAGAAAAAATTGACCTAACATGATTTTACTAAGTTTATTATTAGTTGGCATATAAATAATTTAAAATTACGCGTCAACATCAACTAATACTACAACATATAAGCCATAGGTAGCTCTAATGGCAAAAAAATGTTTTACATTTGTCCATGGACCATGGTAATAATTATCCTAAAATCATTTTACAAAAAAAAAAAAAAAAAAAAAAAAAAATTGGTATTTAATTGTCAAATCTTAAAAACTCATATAATTGTTACAAGAAACAAATGTTGTAACAAGCTAAGCCAAAACAATAATATAGTTTATGTTAACAATTTTGTACCGATGAATTAATGTGTTTTGAAAATAAGATAATATATGAGTCATTGTATCTTGTTTAAAGCCAACGACTTGATGTTTCAGTGGAAATTAATGAGTCGTGGTCACAATATATAGAAGGGACCACTAGCCACGAACCATATTCCTCCTAAGCAGACACTACCTTAAGCTGATTATATTAGAAATTACAGTACTAGAATAGATTAAGATGGGTCATGGACGGTAAGAGATGTCTCTCTTTGTCTCATCGGCACTTAGCTTAACCTTCCATTTATTGTCTAATACTAATTGTATTTAGTTAATTAAAGTTTTGTCCTATGTATTGTACGGTAGGTCGGTACCATTTACGCCTTTTGGAGTTGTGGGTGATGTGTTTGCATGTTTTAGGATTTAGGCTTATTATATTGCAGCAAAATTTTGACTTATTTGACACTATTAGCTATTTGACTTGATTAAACAATCAATATAAGTGTTAATTAATTAATTTTTTGTAACAACTCATTGCTCAAAAATACTAAAATTCAAAAAGCTATTCAAAGTAATTTTTTCGATCTGCTTTTTAAGGTCATTTTATATGTAATCAGTTAATAACTAACAACTAATTTATCAAACATTTTTCTACAATCAGCTAATGTTACCAACCAATTAAACTCACTTATTTAATCAGCTAACCATAATTTACCAAACACCCCATAAACATTTGCAAGTAATACGCTATACCGCCTATACGTAGTAAGATTTAGATCAGATCTTAGTTTTATTGCTTGTCTGAGAAGAGATTCAATATGATTAAAGTGAGGGGGGATAGTGAAATGGGTGCACACATCGAGAGGACCACTAAGAAAGCACTGATTCATCCGTGTCTATGGTCGCAATCATTCCACCCAACATTTTCTTGTGCATGCACCACATGGTGGGCAATTGCTGTTGTTTACTGTGCCTAACTTCTCATTTCTTATCCTTGTTCAAAACGCTAAGGGGGCGTTTGGTTCAGGTTATATAACATAACCAAGGGAATGTGACATTCCAAAGCTCACATTCCGGTGTTTGGTTCATATTATCTTAGGGAATCTGACATTCCCAAGGAATGTCATATTCCCTCCACATAGGATTTTGAAGGGAATGTGATTCCCTTCAAAATCTTAGGTAATGTAAGATAACCTTGGTTATCTTAAGGATATTATAGTATGTGTAAAAGATAACCCTAAACCAAACATGATTATATTACATACCCCAATTTTAGCCAAACACAGGAATCTAACATTCCCAGTAATCTAATATTCCCAGCAATCTAACATCCCCTAAGGTAATCTGACATTCCGTGAACCAAACGACCCCTAATAGTTTATCAGGCCATCAAGGTAACTTTACACCTAATCTTAAAAGTTTTTTACTACTTTTTTTCCTTCTGGTTCATAGGAGAAAACGGAATCAAATTCATGATCTGGATAATGATGTTCCGGATATTTATTTACATTTAATTTGTCTGAATCAAGTTTTTGGGTAAATATAAAAAATTTCACTTATCATGAATATACATTAATGTGAATTTCAAATTAGCACTTAACTATTAAATAAACCTACCTGAAGTGATTGCCACAATCTTGTAATTTTATCTTGAATTTTATTAATTGTTTCAAATAATAAAGAAGGAATTTGACATACATGATATATCCATGGTGAGTATTGCTCCGATTGAGTTATCATGAATATCTCTCAAACTCCGAGTATCTAACACCCAACTCAAACATTTTTTTTTAAACTAAAGGCAGAAATTCATTAACTTAATAACCAATCTTAAATGTAATGGTCAATGAGGTTCAACCAAAGTTTACTAACAGCACCAATAAATGAAACATAGCATGCTATTATCGTCAGCTCGACATTAGTATATTTAACAAAACCTTGTTCTTTTCTTCCCAGAAGGATTAGATATTGGAGTAGGTTAAGTATACTAATCAAGCATTTATACTTATAGAGTATATTAAGATGTTAATTATTGTCTGGATCTGAAATGCGCTTTTGGATTGTTATAAACTTATAAAGTAAGGGTCACAAGGCATGTCATGTCTTGGACCACATACAGTATGATGTGAATTTGGCCATAAATTTTTTTTAGAAAAATAATAAAATTCGGATTTTTCCTTGGAGTTGCTTAAGTGATGTTTTATCAAGAATTGGTTGGTAAGGTTATTCCAATAATTAAGTTTTTGATAGACCTAGCGTGTTCCAAAGGATGTGACTACATATTGTAGAAAATTAGCAATTTCTTTCTCTAATGGTTTTTAGGAAGATATATCATATCATAATATGAGAGTTAAGTGCCAATGAAGCCAAACTTTTATTGACTTTGTGTTGTGTCAAGCACTGGTTGGTGGATAAAACCCTCCTTGAGAAGCTAGGAACTGGATGCTCTTATTTTCTTTAGGGTCGGCAGAAAATGTAGTGGTCTGGGATTCCTTTTTAGGCATTGGATACTACACTGTTGGACACCATTTTCAAAACCCTTTTCTGTTTATTTATTTCTTTTTTGAGGAGAAACATTATTACTCCGTATAATTTTAACAATATTAAAGCTATGTGTTATTGGGAATATTCACTATTCAGAGAATCATAGTAAGAAACTTTGTGCAATGCCCTCAACACCATAGTGCTAAAACGACCCAAAGTCTCCAACGCCATTTCCCTTTACTTTCTCGGCTAACACATTGATTCATAGTCATAGATGACTAAGATGAGGAAAGTTTTAAACAAAGGCTTAAATTTTTCAACTATGAGCTGTAATTGACCCAAAATGAAGTTGAGCAACTAATTGGTGTGAAACCTTGTTATTTGAAAAATCTAAATCCAAAATGAAGTTGAGCAACTAATTGGTGTGAAACCTTGTTATTTGAAAAATCTAAATCATTCATCCGGCCGGACACGTTCTAAGTGGGACTAGTTGAAGGCATGATATTACCTTTACCATACTGAAAGGACTTGTTTACGTTATAAAAAGACACTTTGCTAATTTTATGTAAATCAAAATGAAACTAAATCCAAGTCATCCAAATGTGTGGAAGAGGTTGTTCCGTTACAGAACAATGGCATAAAGGGTAAAATAAAATCAAGGAAGCATTTTGCCAATCCTTATACCATGTATCACGGTTCACAGACTCACAGTGCACTGTGAACCCTGGTGTATGTGTATGTATTGTTGTGAGTTTTTGTATTTTGCGTTATTAAATTTTATACATGAAATGTCCTCTTTTCCCAAATACATGAAATGTCTTATGTTATGAATTTGTGTCTTATGTAAATATAAATTATATACTTAAATCGAATTTGAAAAATAAGTAAATATATAACATATGTATGTATCTTGTGTTATGAAATTTTATATCTTACAAGTATAATTTCATACATCGTCGTTTTGATCTAGGATCTATAATGTTATATGTACTCTAGTCCATAATATAAATTCCCGCATTTTGCTAGGCACTCAACTAGATAGGTTATTTCCGGATTTGTCATTTATTAATGTGCTTTTATTTTTTAACCTTACTACCTTACTTCAACTATAATAATTTAATGAAAAGGACATTGCACTAAATCAACTCATTAAATTTTATTGAAATTATGAAAATTTACACTTTTCGTTCCTATATTATAAACTAATTGTATGATTCATCCATACTTGTTGGTCGTGCTCACTTCTCGTCCATAAGCTATAATTAACGTTTCAAATTTTGTCTTTTCTCTGACCTAACATTAGGGACGAAATTTGCAACGTCAATTATACCTTAAGGAACACAACTAATAGAGACGAATCATACAATTATCCTATAACTTAAGGATAAAAAGTGCAATTTTCCGTTAAAATTATTATATTAGGACAATTTTTATGATCATCTAAGAATGGTAGCAAGAACAGTTTAGATGGAGTGTCTGAATTACCTTATGCAGAAGGCAGATGATTATAGTGGCATGCAGCTGATCATGAAATTTCACTGCACCTTCAATCTGTACTCTGTTGCTATGTTCAACCTATTCCTCTGCATCATCTATTGAATACTTTCCTGGGCTTTCATTTTCATGAAATAGATACATTTCAAAAACTACACCAAAAGTGAATGATTATTTGACTGCTAGCTAGACCCACCTTCCCCCTTACATGGATCCATGTTGACAGCAACACCCTAACTGGGAGATTTCTTGATTTTGTATTGCACGGTGGGAGGAGGCTGCAAGCATTTGTGCATAACACAACAAGTCACCAGAAAGAAACAATAATATGCAAAGTACAAGAAAGATGCTTCCAACCTTCTTAGATGATACCAAAAATATACTTTTGGCTACTTTCATAAAGAACACTTGATGTATGTATATGTATTTCTACTAGGCATCTTAACATATTGATCAGGATTAAGAAAGGTTGGGAACTCACTACAAACTCAATTATGTATTCATAAAGAATGCGCAATGAATACACACAAGAAAGAAATATTAGGTAAACCTCACAGAAAAAACAATGTACTTATCCAATTCCTTTTCATTAAGCAAGCTGGAATAAACTGTCCATGTCCTTGTCTGATTAGTAACTTTCCGCTTCATTTCCTGCAATGTCTAGCGTTTCTCAATGACCAAAAAGATGTTGAGCTTCAAAAGAATAAGATATTTTTGGTATAAAAATAGCATCAGAGCAAAGATAGAACTTAAGTCCTGAATGCACAAGCACACGTACAACCACTTCAATCTACAACCATCTTGATTTTGAGTTTTATTGGATTATATAGCAGCTAAAGTTTTACCAAATCCAGCATTACATTTCAATCTTTGGCACCAAAGTTGTTTGCATAAGGATGTCTGCTGGAGCCATTAGAAAACCAAGGGAAAAAAATAGATCAGTTACATTCATATTGAGTCCAACAACCAGAAGATAGAAGTAGCAGTTCTATAGAAACCCACAAAAAGTCACCATGTGGAATAAAAACCTTCAAAATTTTACTAATATTTTTTAGGCCAGGATTCCAGTTTCTTCTTCTGGTTGCTTCCAGAGGCGCAAATCCACATCCTTATATTCTATTCTCTGAAAGCAAGAGAGGTAGAGAGTTTTGTGCTTAACTTCACTTCATGCTTAATCATCTTCAATTGTAAGATTCAATCTTTATGGAGACTAGCCATTGCACATAGAGGATCTCAAATAGATACGGAGGATATTACTGTCACTTATGACACATAAGAGGGTGAGTGTTGAATATATATGCATTTGATAATGGAGGTGGGCTTTCATTTTCATTAATATAATCTTTGTTGACAGACTAATCTCTGCATAATACAGTAACAAGTAAACAATACTAAGTAACTAGTTCACTCTGATATCGAAATTGGTGAAAACAAGAATCCATCCACCAATCCACAATATACATTTGCTATAAAACCTCAACCATACTGCTCCCTTTAATCAGTCTGAACCTTTCAAACATTGTAATCACCTTTATTTTTGTTTATTTTCATGATGCTAGTGAACAAAAAAATAGTGCCAACAATTCCAGCTACACTAAGTAGGCCAGCTCTACTATCTACAAACTATAGGTGCAACATTATTTAATTAGCAGTATAGACTGCATTTTTTCAGTTTATGAACCACTGCCAGACTACCAGTATGGCAGACTATAGTAGAATCACAGAGTGGAGCTGATATCGGAAGAATACAAAGGTGCACAAACGCTAACAAATCATAAGCACCACTTTTGAAAGATTAACCAGCTCAAGTTATCATCTAGGCTTAATTACTGATTCTAACAACTACCATACATTCCATACCTCTAACTGATCGTAAGTAACAAATCACCATACAGATTTCAACATCTTCACATGAGGAAACGCTAATTAACAATATCTCCCGCACACAAAAATACGTTAGATACTCATCTGTGTAAGAAAATACCTATAACTTACTATCAACATGCACGCCGCTAGTCCGCTACGAGTGTAAATAAGTGCACATACAAATTTATTACGAAGTAATGTATACTACATTCATTCATAAATGAGTAGAAAAGAGCTGAGGTTTAACCTGACAATGACATTGCAGGCTTAGTTAATCTTCAGCATCATTTGCAGAAATACTAACCGAGGAGTTTCGATCTCCGAGAAATTGACCGAGCTCAAATGCGAAGCATTGAAGACGAGCACTAACGGATTTAGAATCCGATCTCCAATGAATTGAATTGATGAATCAAAACCGTAGAGATCTGATTTGTGATAAAACTAAAAACCGTTTGGTATGAATTTTGCACGATGATGGATCGAAAATGAAAATTTGGCGGGGATGGATTGGGCTTTTGGTTTGTGTGAGCTTCTTCAACGGGTTATGGCATAATGAGCGCAAGTGGCCTCTTTTGTGCCTTAGTGGCTTAGCACATATACTAATATATGGATTTTTTTAGATACATATGTTTCCCCCGGCAAATTATTATGTGGACCCGAGTCCACATTGCAATGAATTTGACCCAAAATATATCATTTACATATTGAATGTTCACAATTTTGTAAAAGGTAAATGGTGTATTTTTAGGTGGACCCTGGTCCATGGTATAAGTCTTGTTTCCCACCTTACTTGTGATTAAAAGATGTTAATTCGAATCACATGAACAGTATTTAGCTAGTTTTTCATTTTATTGTGCGCATAATGAACCTAGCTCACACCCTACTCTAATCTAGGGAGTCCAATTCCAATGATATTTTGAGGTCAAGTGATCACCCATTATGTTAGTCCCGGGTGAGGATTTTATTTTATTTTATTTTTGAATTAAGAATGCAACCCGTACCCACTACTAGAGGATATATATCGGGTAAATCCCATTTTTATGCAATAGTTCGAAAATCATTTAAGATAGGCAACTCACACTATGAAAAGCTTATGTGACGGGTTCAACCAAAAGGGATATATAGATATTAACAAATACATGTTCGTGATATATACTCATCAAAATGTGTGCAATGGACGTAGTTTAGATAGGTAAAGCATAATTCTTATACTAAAACATCATGAATTCAATTATTGACTAACATTCTCTCAATTAAGTCTGTTACACTAGATCTTCATAGTACGACTTACTTCTTATATGTGATTTACAAGTTATTACACGTGACGAATTCCCTCCTCATCCAACAGAATATACTCCGTATAGAATATGCAAATCATCTTAGCATTTACTAATAGAAAATTTCATCTTTTTCTACTTTTTTTTTTTTGAGAAATATAGAGTTATAAAATAAGAAAGAAAGAACAATTTTTACAAATTCCAGGAATAAGCTAAACACATTACACATCCATAAATGTTAATTTTCTAGCAATGAGATATAATAATTTATATTTTAAAATTTGCAATATAAATCTACCAATTAGACTAACCTCATCCCATAAATTTAGTGCCTTGGTGAATGATGTGGCAAGAGAGATAAATGATCTTTTTCTTTTCTGGGTTTTCAACCTATGTGGATAGTAAAGGGAGAGAGAATTGACTAACTTAGCAAAGTGGAGAGAGAATTGACAATGACAGTTTTTTATATATGTATTGTCAATACAATAACTCTTACAAATTTGATGATGTGAAAGTATGACCCATTTTAAAAAGTGAAAAATATTTGCCTGGGATAGCCTTACTAGAGGGTATATACACCATTTGTTTATTTACAAAATCTTTAAATACAAACATCACCACTGGCCAACTCACCAAGGCTAATAATACTCCAAACAAAACACTATACATTCAAAACTACAATATATAAAACAACACACAAATCTCAAACTCAATGAACCATTTTTCAACCGTCAAGCACCTTCCACACATCTGAATCAAGTTCAGGTCTCTCCCTGCGGTTCATCTCACAGCATCGCAATGCCAAGCGAGCTAGCTGTTCTGCCTGCAACAATGGCCAGTTCCCAGCGCTCGGGTCCAAAACATCTTTAAACTTTCCTTTATCCAATAACCCACACTGGACTACCTTTATGATTCCCAGTGCAGGCTTCCCAGTTAGCAACCTCAACAGTATGATTCCAAACGAGTATACATCAGACTTGGGAGTAAGCTCTCTCGTCGCAAAGAACACAGGGTCCATATACACTATGGTGCCTTTCGGGTCGGTTATACAACGACGCGTAAACTTGTCATCTGAGAGTTCCTCTTCGGAGAGGACGCGGCAGATTCCAAAGTCGCTTAGTTTGGTCGCGAAGTTGGAGTCGAGCAAGACGTTTGCGGGTTTCAGATCGCCGTGGACGATGCCGTGGCCGTTCCAGGAGTGGAGGAATATGAGAGCTGCGCGGAGCTCAGCTGCGATGCGGATTCGGGTTTGCCATGGCAGTGGTGGCGTGTTGTCTTTGCCGTTGATGCGGTCGTCGAGGCTGCCATTGGGGAGATATTCATAGACCAGCGTTGAGGTTTCTGGACAGGCTCCGATTAGTGTGACCAGGTTTGGGTGCCTCACCTTACTCAGTATATTGACCTAACATGCATGGATGAAAGTTTCCATAATCATGGATCGGGTATATGTTGTCCAATATGTCGTAATCGAGCCGAGCTCGAGCTCTAATATTTTAAGCTCGTGGTTCGTCAAGCCACTCGCCAGCCATATATATATATATATATATAGTCCAGTGGTTCGCGACCGCTCGATCAAAATTCGGTTTGATCTCGATCAACTAAGAGCTCAAGCCGGCTTGTTTCTTAACCGAGCCGAGGTCAAGCTTGAACTCGAACTCGAACCTACCTATTATTTATGGAGCTCGAGTTCAGCTCGGCTCGTTTACACTCCTAAATTGGACAGTGAAAACATATTGAAAACACCATTGTAGTCTGTAGAGAGACAGAAAATGAAGAAGGGCAACCCAGACCAGCCAAGTTAGTCAAGCTATTGGCTTGTTAACCACAATGTTTCAACTTCAACTCTTAGTAAGAGCGACTATTGACATTCTTGGTCTGAACCAATTGCAACCTAAGCTGGTTTATTTTCTCATGGTCAATTGCCTATTAGGATCAGAAAACGAGATTTACCTAATATGTCAATATACACTATTTGGGTGGTAATTACAGGTTTCCTCGTTACCAAAAAAAAAAAAAAAAGTGAAAGTCTAACCTCTTGTTGAAACTCTGAGGTACCTTGTATGCTATCAGGGTTAAGAATCTTTATTGCCACTGGTGTATGGCAAAGCATGCCTCTATAAACACTTCCATAACCACCATTCCCAATCTTCAAGCTTGGATCAAAGTTGGAAGTTGCTTCTTTGATTTCCAACGACGAGAATTCTGCATAGAATTTAGCTGAAGATGAAGAACTTGAGGCTTCCTTGTCTAACTTTTTGCTCATACCCTCAGCTGCTCTAAGCGCAGTATCAAGCTTCACCTCCAAATCATCTCTCTCTTGCTTGTACTTCAGAAGAAGTTCAACATTGGAGACCATATTCTGCTCAAACTTCTGTACCATCATATTAAACTGCCTTCTAATCTGTTCAATTTCTTCCTTGCTCCTTGCTAGAACTTCCTCAGCATTCATGGTTTCTGGTGCATTATTAGCCTGAAAGGAAATCATGATGAACAGTCAAACAAAGTCATTCTAGGGATAACCTCAACCTAGCTAGTTGGTCTTGATTTAGTAATCACAAGTTTACAAGTTCAACTTCGAATGAGAGTTGTATATTGGCCAACTTCGATTTGAGTCAGTCAGTTATGAGCGACCTAAGCTGTATATACTGAATAATAATAATATTGCTGCAAGCAATAAGGGACATACTGCAGTTCTAGGTGGAGAAATGTGGCAATGGTCACACAGTGCAACTGAATATGAATCACTGGCCATATGTCCAGATGGCTTTGAAGAATGATGAGATTCCAATGCGAAACTTCCCCGGGGTGTTTCATACCATTCATAGGTGCTTTCTGCTGCACTTGAACTGCTAGGAAAACTCATCAGTCCTTTACGCGTGGCGCTACGAGGACCAGGAACGTTTATTGTTATGTTAACAGATTGTACACTCTCAATTTCTGGAAGAGCTCCAATGGTATCTGCTTGGTTAGTCTGCCCTTCTGAAGCATATCGGCTCGAGCCAAGTGGTGGAGATGCAACTATACATTGTCTGTACAGATATGGTAGATGCTTTTGGGTTATGGAGCTAAGAAACAATGAAATTTATCACAATAAACTGCAGTTATCACTTATCAGTACTCAATGTATGTACTGAGACTATTTCACAAAAGGCTTTACATACAATGAACTTCTCTATAGTAACCAAGAAAACAATGGCCCTTTGGTAAAATAGTTATAGCTTATCAGCCAATTTGACTTGTTTGATCACTATTAGCTGTTTGACTTTATTAAACATCAGCTATCAGCTAACAGATCATTTACCAAACATTTTTCTACAATCAGTTAACGCTATCAACTAGTCAAACTCACTAACCCAATCAGATAAGAGCTATTTACCAAACACCCCCAATATAATACCTTGTATAAATATGATCCCCTTTGCATATAAACCAGATCTGACAGAATGGAGGTGCTTGTTCACACACATACATAGCTTTCTTGGACTTGACCTCTGTCATTCCCCTGCAATTATAATGCATTATCTTAACACCCACCCTAAATTTTACATTTTTACAAAATTTTGATGTGCATTTAGTAACTAGAAAAAAAAATCTTCATTTCTCTGGAAAATTGAAGAAAGGAAAGCAAAAAATAAGTTTACTTATACATAACCGGAGAATTGAAGTAAACGCAGAACTATTTTTACCTTGAGTAATGTCTGCAAGCAGCTGCTCCCATAACAAGCTTCTTGATACCATGCTCAGAGATGAAGTCCACTATGCCCTTCTCAATATTATCCTTCTCAACACAAAGCACTTTCACCTGAGCCTGCATAAAGAACCCAACATACAATTAAGTATTATTGCAGTCTTCATTATGCATCATTCATTCATTCCACTGGAAACTATAAGGTTTGAACTCCTTTTATGTCAATTATTAGCCCATAACAAATACAACAGTAAATCAACAATGAACTATGACAGGGGCAACTCCAATTAAGTTGGTCAGGTTTGAGCCCGTCAACTTGAATAACTTAAGCTGATTTACCTCTTGTAATCTTTTGTAAGTTAGGGTCACAAAATGATTTTATCGAGTGCACAATGAGATAGTAACTGTGAGTTTTACTCGTTATCTAAAAAACAATGAACTATGACATGTTAAAAGGACAACAGTACCCTGCTCGGCCACAGATGAGAAGATACTTGTTTAGAATGTTGCGAGTGTCTTGCCTCTCCTTTTCATGATACGCTCTGACTTGATGTTCATTCGTCAGAGAAATCCCATAGTGTCCACCCAGTACTGTACAGCAAAACATCATGGTTTTATCACTAAAAACACTATACTAAGAACGCAGAGAAATGCAACATGCGACAGAAATGGAGGACATGCATTCACGTCAAATTATTGCAATAAACTAACAAAAGAAGTAGAAAAGTATCTAACAAGAAACCCTAAAAGAAAGGTATAAACTTTACGCATTGGAATCTTCCGAGCTGGAGTATGAACGTGAAGAATGCAAAGACTTCTCCCTACCGGGTTCTGCAAAGCCCAGTCTATTGTGTATTTACTCTCTTTTACATCTTTCCCCACTGCGACGCAAACTGTTTCGTCTGAAACGCTCGGCGGCGTCGCCATGAAGACGTTTAATTTCACTATTCAATCAAAAGTCAACCCTGCTGAAATATAAACAGTGAAGACAATTTTCTGAGAGTATAAATGGAGCGGTGAAGATGGGGACAAGGAACAGGAGAGGGGGGTAGTGTAAAGCCTAGTTCGCCATCACCATGATGACATTGTCATGCTAGAAAGACTTCGCTTGTCCTAATTAAGCTACCAACATGCAGTTGTCGTAAGCTCGCTATAAATTAAGAATTTGACATGAAAGAGACCCTATTATATATATATATATGGCATTGTGAGGTTTGTAGCTATATAGTAATGGAAGTTTAATAATGTTCCATAGGACCGGAAAATGTTAGGAAAATACTGAGCAATAAATTAAGTTTAATAATGTTTACAGTAACATCTGTGTCGACCAGGGTCTAAAACGACATTGTTTTGATGTTAACAAAAAGAAATTTGCGTGTTAGAATAATGAACATTCTGAAGTAAGATATGTATTTTATGAGTTAGAATAATGAAATTTTTAGAAAAGATAATGTATTTTAGCATTTTATGAATTAATATAGTTTACTTGATGTGTTAGATAATACGGATTATATTTTATTATGAGTTAAAATAATGTATAATTTACTTTATGTGTTAAAATAATGAAATCTCTAAAATAATGTATTTTATGAGTTAGAATAAAATACTTTATGTATTTTTGGACCGTAATCCATACAATAATAATTGAGATCTGTATGAATACCACGAACTTTCTTATATACTCCGTAATAAATATTAATATATTATACTACAAAGAACAACGGTGAGGGACATCCATGCATCTTGTTATCGACTATAGAGTAATATATAGCCGGCCATGGCCGTCGTTGTCGACCAAGGTGGTGCACTGGAAAATACTCGTTTGGCGATGACGTGATGTAAGAAACGTTTTGTCATGCATGGAATCGTCACATTTATATTTACATTATTTTATGAGAAACAAAAATGATTTGATTAAATAAAATAAGGTGACATTTTTTTTTTTAAATAATGCGTACCATATATACTAATCGCTAATGATACTTCCATTACCAAATAATCATTTTCTTTTAGGTGGTCAAGAATTGAATTCTTGACATTATGATACAAAATCATGTTCTAAGTAATTTCTTCGATCTTCTTTTTTGTGTCGAGGAAAATTAAAGTCGCAATCATTATTGAGAGCGCGCACAAGATAAACTCACTTGTTGATCCTTTTATTAAAAGTCTAATTTATAATTTTGTGATTACAAAATTCATTGCGGCCCAACCAACTTGAACAAAATTGGTTTTTGTCTACTAGGAGGCGTTTTTATGCATTTTGTCACGAATGAAATCGTCTGTTATGTGTTAAATCCTTATAAAATCATAGAATTTGTCAACCTTTTTTGTCACTGTACGTCTGTACATTATATTGATTGCGACATTTGAGTTTTCGTCAAGTTTATTCTATCTTTATTCCAGGAATCTTTTACTTCGTCACATGAAATGTATAGTACATTTCTTATATCCAAATATAAAAATAGTTTATACTAAATACAAATAAGATGTCAAAATCTATAAATTATATAAAATATAATCATGATACGATGATAACTTGGCATCACATCCCACTCAATTGTTTTTTTTTTTTTTTTCGTAAAAGTAATTTTATATTTAATTAGGTATTAGCTAACAATTTAGTTTAACTTGGGGATATAGTTGAATGAAAGGGTCTCATTCATCTTTAACCAAATGTCAATGGTTCAATCATTGACTTTGGATATGGAGTAACATTAAATCTCCAAGCCAGTTGTCTCACCCAAAAGAAGTGTCTATAATTCAATGAGAGATTAGTTAATGTGTCCGATGGTGAAAACTCTAGGTACACAACAACAACAGAAAAAGTATTATCTAACACAACTACTTTACCAAAATATATTTCTACAATCAAGTAATGATATCATCTTAACTTAATTATTTAATAATTATTTACCAAACATCTTAATAAGGTAAAGTTCGGGGAAATAATATTATTTTTAATTTATTTTAAATTTTACTTCAATAAATGTCGGATAAAGCCCAGCGAGCAGCCGTTTTCATTGTGGCCGGCCTATTTGACAAGTCTGTCATGGGATCAAAGAATATTCCGCATATGGAAGTCACTCTCTCTCCCAACACCTCATAAATCAGAGTCCTTCCAATATTTTATAGTTGATTTCTTCATCGGAAAATCCCGGGAAACATCGTATTGTGATTTACAAAATGTCTAATGGTGAGATATTATTTTCTTTTCGTTAAAGTCGGTGCAATAGAATAGTATGAATAAATTAAAACTCCAATCAAATTAGTAGACGTTTGGTTTTTTTTGTTTACACCTCCACTGAAGCTCGAACTCATAACCTTCTAAATAAAAATTCAATCTGGATACTATTAAACTACATAGTCTTGATAGACATTTGGTTTAGATGAATTAGACTTATGAAGTATTTCAAAATGAACATAACAATTATGCGGGAATGTTTTCGTTTTCTTGTGTAATTTAAAAGTTATTATATAGTTCATAAATATATAGTGGTTGCAGTCTGCAGGTTTTCTAATCACTTATTAAAAATAAAGTAAATAATGGAAAAAAAAAAAAAGACCATAACACTTATTCATACATTAATACAATGAATAAACATATTTTATTTCTTACTTTTTTTTTCAAGAAGAATATAATTTTTTAACTTTTCAAATTATTTTTAAAAATGGATTAAGTGATTAAATATTTAAAAGACTCCAATTAATCATGTGAACTTAAAAAAAATATTGTAGTTGAGCCATTTAAACTATATTTTTTTAAAGAAAATATCATATTATGTTGATCTAATGAGTATCAATAGTTCTCTTTTTTTTTATTCTTTTTTATTTTTTTGCTTTCATGCCGCAGTTGCCCGCCTCCCTATGGTCAGTGACTCCTTCATCATCGTCGAGAACTTACCTCCGCCCTCCCCACATCCCTCCACGCGTAGCTTGGTTCAAATTTGAGCAATAATAATATGTCTTTATCTAGATTTAGACAAACATTTCATCTTTGTCTCTGTTAGACGAAAATTAAGAAAACTCTTCATTTGACGGGTAGAAATAATGACAAAAGTGAAGGTTGGCATGATAGTTAAGTTTTTTTTTTTTTTTTAATAATAATAATAATAATAATAATAATAATAATAATAATAATAATATCTACCAAATAGCTATGCATCTAAGTAGAAAAAAATACAATGCGATAACATTCAAAACATCATTAACTTGAAGTTTACACACAAAAACAACTCAATAGAACTCAAATATATTTTTTCCCAAGTTTTGATACATATTTTAAACTTTTTTTAAATGGAATAATATAATTAAATTTGCACTCTCAAATGAAAGGTGAGTTTGAGCCTCAGTACGGGTAGTATTAACTCTTTATGCTTCAGTAGGTTGAGAAAGTAGCTATGAACATATACTACATTGTAACAAAGTCAATAATACTATAAAAAAAATGCACAAACAATTCAAAAATCTATTTAACCATTATCTCCAAAGTCTCCCCTATTAATAAACCACTATCAACTTCTTTCAATAAATTTGGATAAACTCTTTTTTATCACACTATAGTGTTTGATCCTTATGCAATAAGTTTGATTAACAAATTAAATTCATAATCTTCAAATATTTATGATTTTACTAAATTTTATTGAACCAAATAAAAATATTATTTTTTAATGTCCACATCAAAATGGTGTTTGGACATACAAGCTTTCGTTCTCATGTCACATCAATGCCCCCTCTGGATAACTAATTCCAGAATACTAAATTAATTATCCATGGATGCATTCAAACGATTTATCATTTTAATTTTGAATATACACTAAACGTAAAAAATTACACTAATAAGTTAAATATATAATGTTATATCTATTTATTTATATTCTTATTATTCTGTATGATTATTGGATTTAATTTGTCAAGTTTATTTTTTCATTTTTTATTATAATATTCAAAAGTAAGGGAGGGGAAGATGAATAATTTTTATAATTAATAAATGATTTTTAGGTAAGTTTTTTTCAACTTAACCACAAACTATTTAACTTGATAAAACTTATAGTATTTTGCTTCTTTTTTTTAAGCTCAAAACATTTAAACACCTGTAACGTCTTCACTTTTTAATACATTAAAAAAAATAGTATAAGTTTAAACTTATACTAATTGAAGTATGTTAGGCTCTGAAACCTGCATATAAAGTATTTAGTGAAAAAAACTCAATATGATTCCATATATAGGCCTTATACAAGAATTATACATAAATAATAAATAACTTTGTAGTTAGCACAAAAACTAATCAAAAATAAATAATAGGAACCAATCAACGCTACTAACATTAATCTTTTTCCAATAATTTTTCATATAACGACATAGACACATAGTCACCTGCGGAAACTTGGTTGCAAAGGAAGCTCAAAGTTTAAGCTATTAAAAAACACCTTTGTTCTATGTATATGCATGATGACGTTGGATTATTCGGGGAGATAGATTGAAAAAAAGTGTTGAGCAATGAAAATGTTTCTGTAGGTTGGTAAGTAAAGGTAAAAAGAGATGAAAAGTGAGATGAAGTGCGCGCGCGCGCGCGCACACACACACACACACACACATATATATATATATATATATATATATATATATATATATACATTTTGGCTTAAATGAGAACAAGTATTTTCGTACGGTCAGTGCAATTTACATCATTAAGTATACTAAATGCACCACACAGTATTCGAAAATAAACCATAATGAAATACCACAAAATACATCACACATCAAAAAATACACCACACATAATGGTGTATTTTCGAACACTGTGTGGTGCATTTATGTATACCTAATGGTGTAAACCGCACCGACCGCACGGAAAGACCTGTATGTATGTATGTACTTCATTAATGAACTAAATTCATAACAATTACATTATGAATAAAGATAGGTAGAGAAAACATTCACTCTTGAAGGTCTATACACAAAATATGTAACTCGGGCAACACAATAAACTTCCATATTCGCTGACCTTTTAACAAACTCAACACATACATTCACCATGGTGTTTACAAGCTGCATGCAATCACATTGATGGATTTAATTACCCGGGGTAGACCCGAATCACTAAATCCGGATAAGAATATGAATAATAAATAAATAGATAACACGAAACGGTGTCGTAAAGGCCGTGAGACCGTATATTATATTAAATGCCGTAGAATTGGCTATTACAATAGTATTTTAGGACAAAGTATGCAAGTAGAATAGATCGTGTCCTGTTAGGACAGGCGGGGGGACTTTTATACAAGCCAAATCCCCCAACCGCCTCCCCCTAAAACGGGGGTTAGTTGGATCTGGAGCTGACCGCGCCCAGTCTCACGACCGGGCCGCGCTGCGGGGGCTGGGCCGAGCCCCTCATGAGCTCGGACCGGGCCCATGTGGAGGTCGGTCCGACCTCCTGGAGAGGTCGGTCCGTCCTCTGGCCGTGGCCTGTGCAGGGGCCACGTGGCGAGGCCTCAGCCGGGGCGGGTACGTGGCGCCGCCCCAGGACCCGCTCTTGCTCCGAGCCCTCGGGTCGGTTCCCAATATATCCATCACACATAATATCACCCCTACATAAGACTTATCTTCCGCGCACCGTGATAATCCATTGACAACATTATGCACATCCATTTCAAAAGTAACATTTTACAGCCCATTGCCTTAACATATCTTTTACTTTACAAAAAAAGCTCACAATTATAGATCATAACCGGTAAAGGACTACAATGAAGTAAATCATGTTAAATTTTAATAACTGACCAATTCAAATAAAAAAAAGTCAAAGGTGCAATCTTGATGAAGCTGCATTGTGACCTTAGCTAGTAAAAGAACACAATGAGTTAAACCAATTTATATTGTCCTGAAAAAGATCAATAGACAACTTTCACAAAAAGTTAAATCTGAAGTCTTGTGGTTACTAAATCAACTGCACAACCATAGAGAGCTGCTCTTAGTTCAATTATTACCAAACATTATTTCTGTCGATCCACTCACACAAAGTCATTTTATTATATGGGACTTCTAAGAGTTTTTTGCACTTTTAATCCCACGTCTATAGTGACACTGGCAGAATTGATCCACGACTTTTGAACCTTGCAATTTTAGTCCACGACTATTGATTTTTTTGCAAAAATGGTCCTTCCGGCCACTTTTCTGTCAAAATTTCACCGGAAAAAAAAATTCTCCATTTTTAGCCGGGTTAAAATTGACATTTTACTTATCTCAAAAAATTAAAAGAAAAAAATTGATATTTGACTACATACTACTGCCCCAGGCGGCGGAGTTCTTGGAGCAGGCAGGGCTGTCAGTAAGCGGCGGAGCGGCCGTGGCGTTCCCCGGGCTAGTTGGGTTATCCGACAGCAGCATTGGAGTGGTACATGTACTCCGCTGCCTGAGACAGTAGTATGTAGCCCAGTAATATTGTATGTAGTCAAATATCAATTTTTTTCTTTTAATTTTTTGAGATAAGTAAAATGTTAATTTTAACCCGACTAAAAATAGAGATTTTTTTTTCCGGTGAAATTTTGACGGAAAAGTGGCCGAAAGGACCATTTTTGCAAAAAAAATCAATAGTCGTGGACTAAAATTGCAAGGTTCAAAAGTCGTGGATCAATTCTGCCAGTGCCACTATAGTCGTGGGACTAAAAGTGCAAAAAACTCGGACTTCTAATGTATAATTTGTAATCTATTAGAACAAAGTTTGTTCAATATCTACTTTCATGGAGTGGTGTTTCATGCCGTGGTGGTGAAGTTTCCCAAACTATATAAATTCATCAAATACACAAATACGGTATCATAAGGCATTAAATATTTAGTTAGGAAAATAAACGTCTCTTTCAGCTTCTTACTACAATATTATTACTACAGCAACTACTTTGTTGGTAGCTTAAGACAAGTAAACTCTTTCCAGCGTAATCATTTCATGGTAGACTTGACTTTGCGCTACACATCTCTCCTTTTCTTCTCCTCAATTTCATCTCTTTAATCTTCAGCCTTCCTCTGAATATCATGGGGTTTCGTTATCCCAGCCCAAAACCCAGTGTACACACACATGTTTGCAGTTTGCGTGTGTAGATAATGCACATATGTTAGTAGTGTTGAGTTTTGATTTAATTGTGTAGTGATTTTTTATGGCGTTGGGAACATCTACGCCCTTAATTTCGCGAAGTCCGATTCGGTACCCGGATGTTGACATGTCGGGTCTGAATTTGGGTGGCGCCGGTGGTAGCAGTGAAATTGTCGAGCTGTCGCCGAGTCCGTCAACGGCCACGCCGGCGAGAGTTTCCGATGATACGTTGTATGTCGCGGTGGGGAAGGAAGTTAAAGAGAGTGAATACACTATAGCTTGGGCTTTGCATAACTCTGGAGGGAGGAAACTTTGCATTCTTCATGTTCACACTCCAGCTCAGAAAATCCCAATGAGTAATTTCTCTAATTTTTGTTTGCTTTTTGGTATCTTTATAATTTTTTTTCCATTTATGTTGTCAATTTATTGTAAAATTAGGCACTGTTTTGCTAGTTAATTTGATCTGATTGCATATTTCTCTACTTGCTTGTGATTGCTGATTAGACTTGTTCTTGGGGTTTCTGATGGGTGAAGTGAAAATTAGAACTCAGTACTTGTGTGTGTTTTTAGTTGATTTTTTGGAATTTATGAGCTTTGAGCACAATATTTACCTTGGTAAATGATAACTTGGAACTATCCATTTTCAAAGCACCTTGAATTGCAGGTAGAAACTTTTAGGAATTTAGATGCCCTAGTAACTATTGAGAAACCAGAGATTGGAACTTTACTGCTTAGCGTGGTTCTGGTTTAAATTAGTGGTTAACATTACAAGATTTTATTGTTAGCCTTACAAACTGCCTCTATTATAAGTTCATTTTTACAGTACTTATACAAGTAAATAGGATAAAAGATACTCTAATAACCTTAGGCAAAGGTCGTTATGGTAGTTTCAGTGCAAGTTGTTCATCTTTCATTACATATTTGAACTGTTATTGCTTGTCATCTGATATGGTAAGCATCGTGATGGAGAGAACATAAAGGAAGTTTGGCGTTGCCAATTCCTCAGAGAAGCTGCCTCTGACCTCCACACCCACACCCTACAGTCTCTCTCTCGTTTTATGTACTAACATAGTTTTGTGATAGAAATGAGAGATGCACATAGCAAGTTAGCAACTGGATAATGTAATAGGAGGTTCATGTGTATGCCAATAGAAAATTACCTTCTCAAAATATCATCTCCTCAAAATGGGAGGAATGACTTTCCTCCATGTCTGTTGCTTGGTGCATCATTCTGCGTTTTTTGTTTAGTTTGTTAATGATAAAATGATGATACCATGTTATTTACGACTATGACTAAAATGTGGCGCGCTTCAACTTTTGGTGGTTTTCAGTGGGTACAAAATTTAGTATTGACCAGCTGGAAGAACATCAAGTTAAAGCATACCATGATAAAGAGAGGCAAGAAACTTACAAGATTTTGGACAAATATCTTCTCATCTGTGGCCGAGCAGGGGTATTTTCCTTAATCTGTCATTTAGAAGATGTCAATTTCATTTTTTAATCCTGTCTTTGGGTTCTTTAAGGCTCAGGTGGACAGACTCTACATTGAGACGGACTCTATTGAGAAGGGCATAGTGGACCTCATTTCTAAGCATGGCATCAGGAAGCTTGTTATGGGAGCAGCTGCTAACAAGTGCTACTCAAAGTAAAAACAGTAAAATAACTTTTCCATAGCTTTCCCTCTACTTCTAGCAGTACAGATGTCAGTTTATGCCCTGAATGAGACTCCTGCACCATTAGCTATAAATACCTTAATCCTGATATTGACCTTATTAGCTCAATCTTGAGCTTCAACATCTGATAGCCCTTGCTTTTGAATAAGAAAACCCCGATAATTAAAAGGTCATATATACTTATCAAAATAAATGAATAATAATAATAATACTATAATTAAGTAAATAAAAGGGCGTGTCCTTGATTGCTATTCTCAAGAAGAAAACGTCTCCAAGTGTTTATCTCTTTTTTCCATTTCCTACATTTTGGAAAAAAGTTAAATTTAGGCAGTGTTTTGAACTAATGCATTATAATTGCAGGAGAATGACAGAGGTCAAGTCTAAGAAAGCTATTTATGTGCGTGAACAAGCACCTCCATTCTGTCAGATCCGGTTTATTTGCAAAGGGAATCTTATTTATACAAGGTATTGTTTTCTTGGCAATTGTGTAGGGAATCTAACTATAGATATTAGTTGAGTGGTGCAACGGCCTGACTTTCTCAACACTTAAAAATCTCCACTGCATGGCATACCTTTAACCGTTATGGTAGTCAGCCTTCACACATGCACTTCTTAACCAAGTGTTGTGCACAAGGACAAGGGCAACAATTGTTCAATGACTTAACAACCACCCGAAGCAAAATATGTGAAAAACCAAAGAAAAAGAGAACAGAAAGAAAGAATCCTATATTTATAGGAACATGGGGACTAAATCAAGCCTAATAGGAATAGGAAACTAAGCCCACTCCTACTAGGAGTTTCTTAATATTCAATAAAGGTTTCCTAATATTCAACAAACACACTTGTCAAACCAACTCGCCATGACTTAGTCACTGAACCAATCTTGTTTGTCAATGCCTCAAGGTCATGCCACCCAGCCTTAGGCTCAGCACCTCGACTTGTGCCACAACCAGCCAACTCATGCCATCAACGGCAGTTGTTGGACCCATTGGACTTATGGGTCTAACAACTGGTAATAAAAGTTTTAGAAAGCGTTTTGTAAATTAATCTCAGTCTATTGAGTTTATATTTGAGTTATGATAGCTGCTGTTTCCTGTGATTAATTTCATTATTTCTTTATTCACTTCGGCTCCTCTCCCTCTTTCAGTGATAGGGGCCTCTCTCAGTCTCTCACATATAATCGAAAGATTTCAAGGAGTATGAGCTAACAACATTTACCTTATCTATACAGAGAAAGTAGACTGGAAGGGATTAATTCAGCAATTGCATCTCCACCACTTAACGCAAGTCCAGCTGGTGATACAGGACAATTGAGCCCTCTGAGAAGATCTGCTACAGAAGGGCACACTAATGAAGTAAATCTCATTGGGTCTCTTCCGGAGTTTAGGAGAGTACAATCTGATAGTATTGGAATAAACCTTTCTGGACTTCCTAGTTCTACTGGCACAGGACGAGTTTCTTTTTCTAACAGTTCAAATGTAGAAGGAAGCACCGATGGATGGAATGGAATACCAAGGAGAAGTTTCTCAGTGGCTTCACACTTCTCTTCATGTTCATCTGGGGATATGGGTGATGATTCACCTTCTATTTCTTTATCCAGGAGTGAAGGGAGGGACAATGTATTAGACTCTTATGCACTCTATGACCATCGACACACTTCTCCACCTAGTACTGCAGTAAGCTCCTTATTGCTTGGAATAGTATTATTTTTAGTCTTCATGAACTGAGTGAGTTTTTTGCAGCTAATAACTATTTTTCCATGATTTTTCGTTGAAATGAATGATCACTGAACCAACAGGTAGGAAGTGTGGATGATGAGCTATATGATAGACTTGAACAATATGTTGCTGAAGCAGAAAATTCTAGGAGAGAAGCTTTTGGAGAATCACAGAAGCGTATGAAAGCTGAGAAGGAAGCAATTGAAGCTAGGCGCAGGGTAACATTTAAACCTTCCTGTATTAATTTTTTCGTAAAGATAATTTTGATTTATTATTTCTTTGGCCCTTGGACATGATATAGTAGGACCATGGTTCTGGGGGCTTAACAATGCACCAACTATGCTTCGAGACAAGTGTGTTCAAATGATTCCATGTGAAATACTAAATTTTTCGGTTATTTTTCTGGTTCTTTTTTTTTTTTCTTTGGGTTTTTAAATTCATAGTTCTTCATTTTTGGGTAGCATTTATTCTGGAGTTAAGTTTGGCATTCTGCTTGGTTATATGAATTCATAGCGTTCCTTTGTTTGACAATAGTATAGAAGTCTCAGAATGTTCATCATGATTGCTTTTCAGGCTAATGCATCAGAAACAATGTATGCTGAAGAGTTCAGACGAAGGAGTGCAATTGAGGAAGCACTAGCCAGGAGCAAGGACGAAGTTGAACAGATGAAAAGGCAGATAAATGAAGTCATGGAAGATCTTCAGGCTGCACAAGAACAGAAATCTTCCCTGGAGTGCCAGATTTCAAACTCTGAAAAGATGGTACAGGAGTTGGAGCAGAAGATATTCTCTGCTGTTGAACTTCTGCAGAAGTACAAAAAAGAGAGAGAAGAGTTGGAGGTGGAGCGTGACAATGCACTTAAAGTAGTTGAGGATATGAAGGGAAAACTAGACAAGGAAGCCTCAAGTTCATCTACAGCTCAATTCTTTGCTGAATTCTCATTTAGCGAAATCGAAGAAGCAACTTCCAATTTTGACCCTAACTTGAAGATTGGGGAAGGTGGTTACGGAAGCATTTATAGAGGTGTGCTTCGCCAGACACCAGTGGCGATAAAGATTCTTCACCCTGATAGCTCACAAGGTCCCTCAGAGTTTCAACAAGAGGTTAGAAATTCTGCAATATCAATTGTTTTTGTCCCTGTTCGTGCTGCATATTCTGAATGACTTTGTTTCTACTGCCTATTTTTTAAAATTAGCTCCTTCTATGGTGCTGTTTTCTTTCAGTGATATTTCTATACTTTTTCGATGGAGGATAGTTTATTACAAAATGATTGTGGGTTTTTCATGTTATGTTAGGTCAATATCTTGAGTAAGTTGAGGCATCCAAATCTAGTCACTCTAATTGGGGCCTGTCCAGAATCATTTACACTTGTCTATGAATATCTTCCTAATGGAAGCCTTGAGGAACGTATCAACTGCAAGGGCAACACACCTCCACTCACATGGCAAACTCGAATCCGCATTGCAACTGAGCTCTGTTCTGCTCTGATATTCTTACATTCGTGCAATGGTCACGGCATTGTGCACGGTGACCTAAAGCCAGCAAATATTTTGCTGGATTTGAACTTTGTGAGTAAGCTCAGTGACTTTGGAATTTGCCGTGTTCTCTCTCAAAATGAATTGTCAGATAATGATACTTCACTCTGTTGGAGAACTGATCCGAAAGGCACTTTTGTATATATGGATCCTGAGTTCCTTTCAACAGGAGAGCTTACTCCAAAGTCTGATGTCTATTCGTTTGGAATCATACTATTGAGGTTGCTAACTGGAAAGTCTGCATTAGGAATTACAAGGGAAGTTCAAAATGCCTTGGATAAAGGAAATCTAAAAGATCTTCTGGATCCAACTGCCGGGGACTGGCCATTTGTGCAAGCTAAACAGCTGGCTCACCTGGCAATGAGTTGCTGTGAGATGAATCGCAGGCAGAGACCAGACCTTGCTTCAGAGGTGTGGAAGGTGCTTGAACCAATGAGAGCTTCATGTGGTGCCTCATCGTTTCAACTAAGTTCCGAAGAGCGTTGCCAAATCCCTCACTATTTTATATGTCCCATCTTTCAGGTTAGCACATTACAAGTTTTTCAGTTTTTGTTCTCAATCCCTTTTACATACATTGGATTCTTGAATGCCTTGGAAAATTTGTTGTGATATTCTAATTACTTGAATCACATGGATAATCAAGAACCATGTGTGGTCCCTCTCTCTTTTCTCCTAAGCAATTTGGCTTTCATACCAACCATTTAGCCGTTTTCTTACTCATTCACTGAAACACGCAGGAAATCATGGAAGACCCTGTAGTTGCAGCTGATGGTTTCACTTACGAGGCCGAAGCTCTAAGAGGATGGTTGGACAGTGGTCATGACACATCACCCATGACAAATCTCCAGCTTTCCCACACCAATCTCGTGGCAAATCGCGCTCTTCGTTCTGCTATACAGGAGTGGCTGCAGCAGCATTGATACTGCTCCTTGCATTCTTCAAGTCTATGAAAATCCCTTTTCTTTTGCTTTCTCAGTGGTATCTGTTTTTGCATCCTAAGACTCTTCTGATGTGCCTTGTATAGATCACATTACCAAACTACATTCTACTTACATCACAGCAGCTGGAAGACAATTTTGTGTGTTGTAATTTTTTGTTTCTTTTAAAGATTCTGTAAAGTTAGTGGATAAGAACATAGTCATAATCGACTCAACCGATTGAAAAATTAAAATAATCAATTTTTTTATAACAAATAATCGGTAGATAATTGATCGTTACACATTCTTACGTTTAAATAGTTATTGAATTCTTAATTAGTCATAATCGATCGAGAAAATTAAAATTTTAAAAATTTTATGGCTAATATTTGAAATTTTAACTAATCTAATTCTCGATCATCAGGTGCTCAGTCAATTGGATTTTTTTTTTTCAATAGGCTTTAAAAAGTAAATTAGGAATGAGTTGGCAGAGAAAAACACTTTGATTGTTTGATACCATGTGGTGAGATACTGAGATTGATCCATTTTAATATTGTTTGACTCCAATTAAACTCTCAGGAAAAAAAAATGTTAGATATGTGCTGGCTATATTAGTTGAGCTGTCAACTGTAGAATGTAGACTATTCGTACGGTCAGTACGGATCAGAGTTACCAGTTCAGTCTGTAGCCGGTATTGCGTTTCCAATCGATATACTCCGTACTTGTATTGTAAATTTGTAATGATTAAGACAAATAGATACTATATTTTTTTCCTAAAAAAAAAAAGACAAATATATTTTTGAGTTCTATTATATAGACTCTCAAGTTTTACTCTTTAAATTTTATTTTCTGATATGACGAGTATTGATAAATTACTTTTTTTTTTATGTGGGTTTAATATAAGTGTCTACATCAAGATTTTGTGTGTGGAAATAAAAGTTAGAAGTAAAAAATGAAACTTCATATATGCCATGTTTGGTAAAATAGTTAGTCTATCAGCTAATTTTTATTTCTTTGACCACTATTAGCTGTGTGATTTGGTTAAACAATCAATATAAGTCTTTGACTAATTAGTTTTTTTGTAACAACTTATTGCTTCAAAATGTAAAAATTCAGAAAGTTGTTCAAAGTAATTTTTTCGATTAATTTTGTGAGAAATCATTTTGTATGTAATCAGTTAATATCTAATTTACCAAACACTTTTTGCAATCAACTAATATTATCAATTAGTCAAACTCACTAATCCAACCTGCTAACATCCATTTACCAAACACCCTACAGTATTTCCCTATATTTTTAGTCCATACATAATTACCTTTCATAAACGAGATAAAGGGAATATTTATTATTGTAATTTTGTTTAGTACATTTTTAAATATATATGTAATAATAAATTTAACTATAATGCCTTACAATAGTATTAGTTGGGCCGGATTCTACAAATAGTACGACTTCATTATTAGATGAAACTATTTGAATCGTTGTCATACAATATGGACGAAGATATCAGATTTGAAATTTTATTTAATTGGTGAAAGAAAAATAATTTATCTTGTTATCAAACGTACGATATAGTTTGAAGATAAGTTATATTCGGAAGTTATGAACTAATATATATGTAGCTACATTTTTGAATTAATGGTTTCTAATTAGAGTCAACACATGCTATATTAGATCAACACGAATACATATACCAATGCCTTTATGACAAAAATCAAATCTTACTATTTTAAAAAATCAATAGATCTTGATTAGATCTAGTTTATAATTTATATCATATTTTATTTTAATAAATATTTAAATTAATAAATATAGCATGTTAGACGTCTAGAATTTAGAGTTGCGGAATAAAACAAAAAATAAAAACAAAATACACATCCGTTAAGAAGAGAAGAGAAGAGAAAATTAATTGTTTTAAAGTGAAAGTAATCACCATTACCAATTGTTAATCAATTATTAATCCTCGAAGTACATAGCGTACATCTTGAATTCTTAACTACCTTACGATGGGGCCCCGTCGCATACGCGCCCCACTGTCGAGTGTTGCTTCAACACTTTCTCCCTGTAGTGACAAAAGCTAATTGCCAACAACTAATAAAATAATTGTTGCACAGTTTCAAGCGTCACGTCAATACGGCTTCTATAATATATAAACAAGAAGTAAAATACGGACTCACCTTTTTTTCCTTTTTTATTTTTATAAGTGATGATTTTTTTTTTTTTAATATAAGTGATGAATATATTAGAGATGGACTCTATGAGCATATAGCCATTAACGTGCAATTCAACTATCAGCTTAGACTTTTAGTTGAGATGGAGCACATGCTTCAATTTGGTATAAGCGGCACACGTTCCACCATACACGTGAGGGGGCGTGTGATAACGTACTCGAACCAAATCGATTCAAGGAGAAGTAGAGACGACTCAGGTTCGGGGTGACATCGGCCTAGGGTTGCCCCGACTTGAAGTAGCCTCAGCTTAGGGTGGCCTCGGTTGGAGGCAGCATCGTCAAGGAGGCTTTGGCTTTGTGCACTACACACGCAGACACGACCAATCAATGAATTAACTCTATATAATGTAATCATACCGCATCAACACAAAAATCAACCAGTAATATGTCAAAAGCATGAAGTCTCATGTAATGCATCTCACAATGTGTTGTCATTTAATATGTGCAAAAATTCACTTTGCAATATACATGCTTAGCACACCATTTTATTTTATTATTTAACGAATGATATCAGTTATATTTCAAATACATTAAACCTTGACATTAATGAAACATTAGAATTATTAGTAGAAGGTTGTTAGAAAGTTGGTCACTCTTTTAGTTTTCGTGATTCATTCTCATTAAACTTGTTTAAGATAATTTTAAAAAAATAATATGTAACGTATAATAACTTTTAAAAAAGATTTAAATTTATGTGCGGAAAGTTGTAATGTCTTGTTTGGACTCTCATCCAATTTCAACAAAAACACCTTATAACTTATCTTCTTTCTAAATTTTACAGAATGTATGATGTATCATATCGGACAACCTTAAAAAAATCTAAAAAATTTTACCGTCATTTACAGGAAGAATATCCAAACAGTGCCTTAATTTGATATCGATTCACGGAGTATATTTTACTTATTTATGTTTTTCCTCAGTTGTTCCCACCTTTCTCATCGCTGCTTCTGTCTGTCTTCGTTTTCCCCCGAGAAAAGAGAGAGAGAGAGTACACAGGAAATAAACAAAAAATAAAATAAAATATTTTCTCTGATCTTCAGAAAGAGAAAGGGAGTTGTAGGATTTTGATTGGGATGATGGAGTTGAAACGTACGGTGCCGTACTATGATGTCCGTACAGTTGCTGCAGTAGTGGCGGTGTTGCTGCTGAGCTGTTCTTCTGTGGTTCAAGGTGGCGATATTGTTCACCATGATGATAAGACTCCAAGGAGACCTGGTTGTGATAACAACTTTGTTCTGGTAAGACATGATTTTTTTTTTTTTTTTTTCATAAGAAATTTCCCACCTTAGCTTGTATATATATATTTTTGTTTTGTTTTGTTTTGTTTTTTTTTTTTTGAACTTCTGAGAAGATGATTTGTGCCTTGGATGGTGTTCAATGTTTTGGCTTTTAGGGGTTCAATCAAAGCTCCAACCCTCTCTCTCCCTCTCTCTATATAACTTTTTTTTTTAAAAGATAAATTTTGCAAATTCTTGATGTTGTTAAGGCTATGAGTGGCATTTGGCAATTTTCTCAAGAATAAAGGTTGGATCTTCTGATGATTTAATGATGTTTTCTATGTTTTTTGGCTGAGAGAAATGATATATTTTGGTAGTTGATGTTTTACTGAGATGTATCTGTTTAGGATAACAAGGAGCTGCTGGCGATCGACTATCCTTATGGGTAAATTTATTTACTTTGCCTTAGTTTCCAAAAGAAGAATTAGGAATGGTAGTGATTACTGATTAGTGAAGCAATGATTATCTTCATAATCATTACTATAATATATGTATTATCTTGGGTGTAAATTATCTTGAAGTTTTTCACCTTAAATGTGTGCAGCTGATCATGCTGTAAATGATCCAAGTATGAAGCTCTATTTGATTTCTAAATATGATAGGAAAGGGAGATTAGAAGAAAAAAAAAACATAAAATCATCAATTGATTGAAGAGAACTCATTCTGTGAAAGTTTTGCAAACTATGACAGGAGATGCACTGATGCGTTTCAGTCCTTAGTTTTGATTATTGTGGAGGGGTTTTACATGATAGGATGTTCGAGTGATTGAACGTAACACTTCGTTTCCAACTTGAAGGGCATGCTTGATCTGAAACTATATCTCGTTGTCTTTACAAGGTAAAAGTCGCGACCTGGATTAATGGTAAGGAAGAAATGGAATTTGTTGGGATTGGTGCTCGATTTGGCCTCACCTTGGAGTCGAAGGAGAAGCGTGCCAATCAAATAAGGCTCGCACTTGCTGACCCTCCTGATTGTTGTAGTGTACCAAGGAATAAGGTTTTCTATTATGTTTCTTTGATTTGATTTCTAGCTCCTGAATCTCCCTCCAAAGCATGCCTCTTTTTTTGTAAAATTTTTATCTAATTGAGTTCATCGTTTATGTTGTTGTATCACAGCTCACTGGTGAGGCAATATTGGTGCATCGGGGCAATTGCAGCTTCACTACCAAAGCAAATGTTGCTGAAGCTGCTGGTGCTTCAGCTATCCTCATTATAAACAACCAAACAGGTTTGATATTTTAAATTATTTTCCTGAAGTTCTATTCTTGGTCCCTGTTAAGAGTCCCACATTGATAAAATAAGAGAGAACATAAGGCCATGAGTTAACTAGCTAATTGGTTATTCAATCTTTTAGTGTGGTTTGGCCCCTGTGCATTATAGCTAAGTTAGTGATCCTAGCCCAATCTTAGTTTATAACATGACATTAGAGCCTGTTTAGTCCATTTTGGTGGCTAGACTAGTTAATTGGTTAGATTCAATCTTTTAGTGTGGTTTGGCCCATGTGCATTACAGCCCAGTTAAGTGAATAAATTTTATATTTTATTGGCTTTCTTGAAAAAGCAGAAATCAATTTCATGTGCTTAATTGCTTACCTATTACACTGCAGAGCTCTTCAAGATGGTTTGTGAAAAAAACGAAACTGATCTGGATATTGGCATACCTGCGATTATGCTCCCACAAGATGCTGGTCAAAGCATGATAGAAAATATAATCAACAGCTCAGTAGGTAAGTTCCTCCTTCCCTTCCCTCCCACCCCCCAAGCAAAAGAGAAGGCAATGGGAGATTTGTTATTTCCAACACTTTTTCACATTCTTCTGCTTAATGGGCTCGGTTTTCATGGCTTGGATGCGATATTGTTGCTAATCTCCCTCGTGTTTAGTTTCTGTGCAGCTATATTCCCCAAAGCGCCCCGCAGTTGATGTAGCTGAAGTGTTCTTATGGCTCATGGCTGTTGCCACCATTTTGTGTGCATCGTTTTGGTCTGCATGGAGTGCCAGGGAAGCAGCAATCGAGCACGACAAACTCTTGAAAGTAATGCCACGTCTATATTGAGGATTTTCTAATTTTTATATCATATTACCTTACAATGTTGAATCCCTGCAGGATGGCTCGGATGAATACCATGGTATCGAAGCAACTCAATCTAGTGGCATGGTGGAAATCAACATACTTTCAGCAATCCTTTTTGTTGTCATTGCGTCCTGCTTCCTGATTATGCTTTACAAGCTAATGTCCTTCTGGTTTATCGAGGTTTTGGTGGTTCTTTTCTGCATTGGTGGTGTAGAGGTACCTGCCTATCCAAATACATATCAAACGAAAGAAGTATATTAAGGTTCATGTAAAATGGTTGAATCAAATCGAATCTCTAAGATTTGCTAATGAGTAATAACCAGTGGATCTTCCCATCTAATATCTAAGATAACTATAATTTTAGGAAGCAATTGTTATACTGTGGACCAGGGTTCATATTGCATTGTGAACCCTAATACAAAAATTCTGTACCTTCAGTTGACACATTCTGTACCTACAATTAACAGTTTTTGTCCAGGTAAACAAATAACTTGATAATTTCTGACACCAAGTACAGAATGTATCAACTATAGATACAGAATTTGACTTGATAATTACTGACACATATTATGATAGCTACAGGTACAAAAACTATCAACTGCAGGGGTATAGAATGTGTTAGCTATAGACATAGAATCTGAATGTTATTTTTGAACTAGGGTCTACAATGCAAGGTAGACCTTGGTCCATGGTATAATTTGCCTTTAGGAAGTGATCTTGGCCATTTACCAACTTGCTAGACTATTATAGTTAGTAATGATGAAGTTAACTCATCGTTTCTGTATGTAACATTGATCTTTATGTAAAATGCTTAACTTTATCACTCATTCTGCTTGCAGGGTCTGCAAACTTGTTTGGTCACCTTGTTATCATGGTATGCCGATATTATTTGGTCTTATTATCTTTAGTCTAGCAAAACAGAGGCTTAGAGTAGAAGGATATATGTCATAACATATTTTTTGGGTTTGGCCTCGCCCCATGATTTGTTTCCTCAAGTGCTGCATAATTCTGTTTTATATACTCCAATCTTCGTTTCAATTTGATTGATTGGCAAACGATCTTGCAATATAGTTTCAGATGGTTTGAGAATGCTGCAGAGACATTTGTTAAAGTGCCTTTCCTGGGTGCCATATCATATCTGACACTAGCGGTCTCTCCTTTCTGCATAGCATTTGCTGTTATATGGGCTGTTTTCCGACGTGTTTCCTTTGCTTGGATAGGTCAAGATATACTCGTAAGAATTATGATTTATATTCTTTCTATCCATTTCATGGTCCCATCAATCTCTTAAAGAACAACAGTGGTAAATAAGGATGTTTCATATGAAAACAAAAAATAGTTTCTGTAATAAATGTTGTCAATAAATCATATTTTCTTCACATGGGCCAAACCACACTAAAAGATTGAATCCAACCAGTTAGCTAGTCTAACCCTTATAAACCCATATATTCTCTCTTATTTTATCAATGTGGGACTTTTAACACTGGACTTTTTGAATGGCTTATTCATTTTCTCTCTTATCAGGGTATTGCATTGATTGTCACTGTTCTCCAGATTGTGCGAATTCCCAATCTCAAGGTGAAACAGTAGAGATCGCTACTTGTTCTAGCTTATCTTTTTCATAGGCTGCAAACAGTTGTCCGTCTAGCTACCTGTCTGCTACTCAAGCAATGCTACTTTGAAACACATGATGGTACACGATATTCGATTCTTTTGATAATTGAATTGCATTTGACGTGAACGCATTTCATGTAGTCAGGTCGGAACAGTTCTTCTCGGCTGTGCCTTCTTGTACGACCTGTTTTGGGTGTTTGTTTCCAAATGGTGGTTCCATGAGAGTGTGATGATAGTGGTATATTCTCTTGTTCGACAAATAATATATATATTCTTCTGTTTTGTGTCTTTAGCACAATCAAGTAGGCCAGATTTACAAAAGAAAGTGTTTCCCGAGTCATTTCTGTCAATGCCATTTGCCTCCGGCAGGTTGCTCGTGGTGGTAGAAGTGGAGAAGATGGCATTCCCATGCTGCTTAAAATCCCACGGATGTTCGATCCTTGGGGTGGCTATAGCATCATCGGTTTTGGTGACATTATTCTACCGGGGTTACTCGTAGCATTTTCATTAAGGTTTGAGTACCAGTTCCATACAATTCTTTCATATCTAACTTATATGTAATTCATGGCCTACTTTCTTCTTGCAACTAGTGCGTTTTTGAAGCTGAATGCTTGATAAATTTACTATATTGTGGCAGTAAATAAGGGGGCGTTCTTATATTTCCCTTGGGTTTCAGGTACGATTGGTTGTCCAAGAAGACCCTTCGAACAGGCTACTTTATATGGGCGATGATTGCTTATGGTTTAGGTATGATAGAACTTTTAAGTAAAATTCAAACTCGTCATCTTCATTTTGCATTCCTATTTTCGTAAATGGTTTTACTTTGGGTAGTTGGCCTGGCTTCTTGTGGAATGCCATAAAATTGCATTGAAAAAAAATGTTATTTTCTTTCCTAATTTTATCCCGTAATGTCTACATTATGTCATGACATTATATTCATTGACTACCCGCGAATTGGTCTTTCCTTCCCACTCCACTTAAAAAAGTGTTAAGAGTCCCACATTGATAAAATAAGAGAGAACATATAAGTTTATAAGGCTATGCGTCTAATTGGTTGGATTTAATCTTTTAGTGTGGTTTGGTCCAATCATTGTTGATTCTTTTTTCTTCTTGCCACAGGTTTGCTCATAACATATGTGGCCCTCAACTTGATGGATGGACATGGCCAGCCTGCATTGCTTTACATAGTTCCTTTCACCTTAGGTACGTTACAGAAAACTTTAAGTAAAATTCTCGCCATCGATGCTGTCTTTTCGTGACGGTTATGATCTCATCTTCGAGTGTAACTATGCAGGAACCTTTCTGGCGTTGGGGAAGAAACGAGGCGACCTCAGACATCTATGGACCAAAGGAGATCCATACAGACCTTGCCCCCATGTCCAGCTCCAACCTGCTGAATAAATAAGTGCTTAGGAGCTAATTAAGTGTAGCCAACGTGATTATATAGTTCTCAGCCTTTGAGTTAGAGTTGTAGGATTATTACGAAGTTCAAGAATTTTAAGGCTACTGTTCTTAATCATGTTCTCTCTCTCTATATGTATATTTGTATACATGGATGTATGTTGACAAGAGAGCTGATATATATATATATATATATATATATATATATACTATAGTTTTTTCATAAGAGCTTTAGTGCTAGTTTAAATTACAGCTTTCCAGTATGGTAATGGACAAACATCCCTTACAAAGATTACAGTTTTCTTGTTATGGTTGTTGAGCATATAATATATAAACATATACATTCTAACTACGAATTTAAACTTTTAGTTGAGACGAAATACATCATTCAATTTTAAGTGTCCTGAGCAAATCCTAACTGTAGGAGGCACAAACCCGTATTATACTCAGACTAATCCATGTTCGCATCGAACTGACCTAATTAAAGGATAAAGTGCTGACCAGATTAATTTTTCCATACAAGAGCAATTCGAAAAGATTACAGTTTTCCTGTTATGTTAATGGACAAACAACCCTTAAAAAGATTACAGTTTTCCTGTTATGTTAATGGACAAACAACCCTTAAAAAGATTACAGTTTTCCTGTTATGGTAATGGACAAACAATCCTTACAAAGATATACAGTTTTCTTGTTATGGTAATGGACAAACAGCCCTTGCAAAGATTACAGTTTTCCTGTTATGGTAATGGAAATACAGCCCTCACAAAGATTACAGTTTTCCTGTTATGGCAATGGAAAAACAGTCCTTACAAAGATTACAGTTCTCCTGTTATGATAAAATTGACAGTCCTTACAAAGATTACAGTTTTCTTGTAATGGTAATGCCCAAACAGTCCTTACAAATACCTCTTACCTCGTACAATGTATCAAGAAAACATTCCATTACACTGAAATACATTGTCAAAATGGTCAGTTACTGGAAAATGAGAATGCAAAAGTAAGAAAACTGAAGAAAAGCTGCTGATCAAAAGTTACATCTTTTGCTTGATTGTACAAAGTTAAACAACTATATACAAGGCCTTCGGCAGTCGCTTAGAAACCCATTTTATTCTCAGTCTCAACCTCGCACAACGCCCAAGTTTCAGAAAAGAAAGTCAATGAGTTGCCAGTAAACGTTCCAACATGAACCTATATCAACTTTGCTGTCTAAGAAAATCACTAAAACTGCGCCAGCCAGCACACACACATGGATCAGTTTTGGTACAGTCCCGGTTTATCACTGCCCAAAATGATAAAACTGTTAAGCAAAAATTTGCATGCCGATAATTTGAAATGAATTATGTGCCTATGTCTATGGGGAAGATTTCGAAAATGTTCTGTACAGGCGTATTGACATACATCCCAGAAAAAAAACAAAAAGTTCTAGTTTCTTGAAAATGGGACATGTTTTAGTTTCTTGAAAATGGGACATGTTTTAGTTTCTTGAAAAAAAAAAAAAGAGGTACTTTGATGCTATTTTCGTGATATGCTGGACTTTATCTACGATCATGCTTTAAAAACTGAAACTTGTTCCCAACAGCAAACCTCATTGGCAAAACTTCTCAGCAAGAATAAGTTATTAAAGGTAAATTGTAATTTATATGTCCCTCCATAATATGCCAATTATCAATGTCACTCCTGAATTATTAGTGGTGTAAATGTTGCCCCTCAATTTTCAAAACGGTACATATATTGCCCCTCTCGTACCGTACGGGAGGAAAACTAACATGGCATTATTTGATTGGTTACTTTACTTTTTTATTAGAAGTTAGTGAGGGCAGCCAATTCATGGCACCCAATAATTAGAAGCCATGTCTCGGAGGGAATTTAGGAGGGGAAAAATTAGGAGGAGTAAGAAGAGTTTTCCTTTATATTAAAATAAATATGAAAAATAAAAGAAATGATGGTACTTGCATGTCTCCTCAAAGAACTGCCACTGATGGCAATTGGCACCTGTCTCCTCCCTTGGCCTAGAGAGAGAATCTCTTGCATTCTTTCTGGCCAGTCTGAATTTAATCTTCGAGCAAAATCTGCCACTTCCCTGATCAGGAGGTAAAAGGTCAAATTTACTCTTTCTTGACGATCAAATTTTGAAGTTTCATGAAGAATATGTTGCCTGCCAAGGTACACCAGTCTTACACTCTTACCTGTCAATTTCTTCCTTCATCACAGGGTCAATCTCGTCATCTAAATCACCGTCATCAAACTCCTCTTCAGGAACAAAACTGCTACCTTCAAATTGTGTCAGGTTCAATGTCTTGTCAGGTTTGGGATCAAAATGACCATTTACTGTAGCGTCATGGTCAAGAGAAGCCCTGTTCAACTCCTGCAACATGAAATAGATGTTGATCGAATTAATGTGCGTAATCATCTCTTATCTTTTATGGTTCGAGGTTAATGTCAGTGATTATGATGGAGAAAACTGGCATCGATAAGGTGCCAGTGTATAAAATACGATGTATGCATAGGTTTCTCAGAGAAGGAAACATTTGATACTGACCACATTGGGATTGGTAGAATTGATTAAAGACGAGGTGGTGTCTGAAGTACTACTACCATTAAGCGGAGCATTCTTTTGTTGATCTTTCCTTCTGCGGTTCTTCCTTCTATTTTTCGAAGTTCTGACACCCTTTGAATCTGGAAACAAAATTCAAGAATGTAGGAGGCAGAATGCCAGTCAACAACTTCAGCCAACTCAGCTTAACCTATTTAAGATTCTATGATATAAACAATATAATATGTGGGGACGATAACAATTACAAGAACCACCTTTCCATAATTGCTCATACAATGCCAAAGAACAATATTCATAGCAAATAGCAACAGATCGTTTTGTTATGGTGAATACAGACTCCCAGTGAAGCTTCATGGTCACGGTAAGGTAGACTATTGCAAATTACCTTCCTAGTTCCTACCAACATATGTCTCCCGAGGCCAAAGAAAATCAAAGAGTTTCCCTACTTTGAAAAGTTGGTCAAAAACTACCAAATTCATTCCCAATATTGGCGATCAATGTCTTGCAGCATTTCCCCGAAATAACACATGCAAACAACAAAAGAATAAGGGGGTGTTTGGTAAATAGCTGTTAGCTAATTGAGTTAGTGAGTTTGACTAGTTGATAGCATTAACTGATTGTAGAAAAGCGTTTGGTAAATTAGTTGTTAGCTTATAGCTGATTACATGCAATATGACTTTCTCAAAAAACTGATCGAAAAAAGCTACTTTGAACAACTTTTCAAATTTTAACATTTTGGAGCAATAAGTTGTTACAAAAAGCTAATTAATCAAATACTCATATTGATTGTTTAACCAAGTCAAACAGCTAATAGTGGTCAAATAAGCCAAAATTGGCTGATATGCTAACTATTTACCAAACAGGGCCTAAACCTACACATGCACATGATGGCCCTGTTTGGTAAAAAATTGGCCTATAGGCCAATTTTGGCTTATTTGACCACTATTAATTGTTTGATTTAGTTAAAATATCAATATAAATGTTTGGTTAATTAGCTTTTTGTAACTCCAAAAGGCTAAAATTAAAAAAGCTACTCCTAGCAACTTTTTCAATTAGCTTTTTGAGAAAAGAAATTATACCAAACAGCTATCAGCTAACAGCTAATTTACCAAACACTTTTCTACAATCAGCTAATGTTATCAACTATTTATACTCTCTAATTAACACAATCAGCTAACAGCAAACAGCTATCAGCTAACAGCCATTTTACCAAACAGGGCCGATATGTATTGTATACCTCCATTTGCTCCATTAATGAAGGACAAGAGATCATCAACTGAGCGTTGGTCCACTTGCTCCCCTTCAACCTCAACATTCTGAAATAGTATGAAGCTGAACTTTGTCAATATTAAGTATACACAACATAGAAATGACTTGAACAGAACATGAACTGATGACATTAGGTACCTTCAATCTTTCTCTCTCTTTTAATTCTTTCCTCTTTCTGGCATACAATCTATTTAAAAGCCGGATTCGCGGATCATCCATCGTGTTCTTTAAGGGCTCCAATTTTTCTTCCTGAATAGATTTGTACAGGTCAACATTACAACAAATATTGCATAATCTCAAGAAAACAGAAAAGACGATAAGCTTATAAGCACAAGACACCTCTGTAAGATCATCTGGTAGATGAAATATATCGCGTATTTCTTCTGGAGTTTTTCCCTCAATCATCCGCGCAAGTGCTCGACTTGTAAGGTCAACCAGTGGCTTTAATTCCAGGCTGTCAGCAGCAGATGTCAACTCGCATAGCCTCTTTATATCCATCCGAATGAACTTCTCATCGAATGATTTTCTCTCCTACAGTCGGGAAAAAAGTCAAACTATCTAGAGAAGATTACTTACAAACAAATGATTTACATTTTTCTCTAGGTTATGTAACTTTTAATTGGAATATCAGTTTCTATCCAAAATGACACATTCAAATTGTCTATTCATAAAACTTGGCCAATGAATATGGAATGTAATCCAACCAAATCGTAAAATGGAGAAAAAAGTTCAAAACCTTGTTAGAGCGCCCAGGTACTTGGTGAAAATGGCAATAATCAAGAATCATGCTCAGCATGGCAAGATTCACCGTCGGAGGAAGAGATATAGGGTAATTTTTTGAAGACCCTAATCCCAAATGTATTTCATGACATATAAACGGGCAAAAAATAGCAACCTCTTGTTCTACTTGCTGTATCGAACCATCAGATGTTTGGAGCCATACATAGGACTTCATCAGCTGACAGGGACAAAAGAAAACAGTAAATTTGAATCCGAACCTTGACAATAAGCCGTAATTTGTGAATTCGTAGAGAGATTAAGAACTAAATGCTTCATAATGAATAAAAGGTATATATTTATTGTTACGCACACACATCCATATGATTTAAATACTATAATTAAATATCTTATGCCAGAATATCATGGTCCATCTCACACTAAATTTATTTCCTTTAACCCAATATATGTTCTAGACTTCTTGTTATAGGTAATAACTCCTACGAATGCTCAAGAGCCTATTTTGGCAATAAAAATACCTCGGGTTTAATGATTTCACTATCATGTTCTGTCATTGCTTCTCACACTGAAATGGAAACTATTTGAATGAAGCCCGTTTAAACTTGTGATCCTGGATTCCTGGGATTAGACGATG